CACCCCAGCTAAATTCTTTTTAAAATAAATAAATAAATAAATAAATAAATAAATAAATAGGGCTAGAGAGATGCTTCAGAGGCTATGATCACTTATTGCTCTTAAGAGGGGCCTTGATGGCTAACAATTATCCAAATCTCTAGTTCCAAGGGACCAAATTCCCTCTTCTGAACTCTGTGGGCACCAGGCACCAATATGGTATACATACATACATACATACATACATGAAAAACACTCATCTACATAAAATAAAAATAAGTCTAAAAGAAAAAAATTTTTGACAAAGGTGGCAAAGTGCTAGAAAAAGACACCCAATGTTGCAGGAATACAAACACATACATCAAACATGATAGATAGACAGACAGACAGACAGACAGATTGAGTTAATGGCAATACTGATCAAAGGCCCAATTTGCTTTCTGTTTATGAAGCCAATTCAAATAACAGGGAAATATAATCAATTTTTTACTACAACAATAAAAATATGGTTCAGGTGAGCCAGGATTTTAGATTCATTACAAAGAAATTCTGTTCATGACAGACCCAGACCACTAACTTAGAATTATCTGATATTGCTGGTTTGTCTGCCTGACAAATCAACACTATTTCAGTGCATAGAAGCTGCTGCTACTCAACTGTTTTTGATATCGAAGAAAAGAGATTCTTGTATTAGATGACCCTTCCTACTTTGTTTCTACTTATACATATGCAGCATCTTCAACAGCTATATACTAATTTCCCTAGCTGCAAACACTAACATGAATTGTATACTATTTGGTCTCTCAGTCAGAGGACTTGATAAACATCAACTTCACCACTGACAGTAAGACTACCTATTGCAGCCTATTTTTCAATTAAGACAATAAAATAACACTACCCACCTCACAAGAGTATTAATCAGATAAAGATAGTGTAGTCTAGGTATACAGTCAAGTGAATGATTAAGAACAATTTAACAGCTGGGTCTGGTGTCTCAAGACCTATAAAGTAAATTCAGGGCCAACTAGTGCTATAAAGTGAGTTTTAGGACAGCCTTGGCAATGTATTGAGACTCTGTCTCAAAACTGGAAATAGAAAGTAAAAGGAGGGCCAGAAAAGTAGCACAGTAGTATTTGAGCCTGGCATATAAAAGGCTCTGGGTTCAATCCTTAGTTCTGCAACAAACAAACAACAAAAATGTTTGCCTATTGAGTTTGAAAGTGGGTTTAATAGTCAGGGATGGTGACTATTTAATCCCATTCCTGACACCAGATGTCGAGTGGGAAACAAGATTTACTGGGGCACAGTATAGGCTGAGTGTTTATTCAGGGAGAAATCACTTACACCTGAAACAGTGACTACTGCAGGTCCTGCTCCAAGGATCCCACCTGGATGCTCTCCACAATCAGACCAGGAAGAGAGCAAGCTGGGGTCTGGAACCCCAGACCTAGCTTCCCCCAACACATCCTCACCTGTGCCCACGCCACAATGGGAGTGGCTAGTGCAACAGGTGCGGGCAGGGTGAATATCTTACTACACTAGCACTCAGGAGGTAGATTTCTGAGTTCTAGGCTAACCTGATCCACACAACAAGACCTTGTCTCGAAAAGAAAAAAGTTTGTAATACCAAGATTTTACTGTCTATTATATAAAAGAGCCCATCTTAAATGAATACAAAGTATTTACACTATACAAAGGTTTAGATAGTGGCTCATCTTTTATCAGATTAACATACTTATAGACAATACTAAGAAATATTTTAAGTATTACAGACACACACTGAAGTACTTGTAAATAAAATGACATCTGGGATAGGCTTTAAAATATATCAGTCTCCCAGCTGGGCACAGTAGTGCACACCTTTAATCTCAACACTTGGGAAGCAGAGGCATCGAGATCTCTGTGAGATCGAGGTCAGCCTGGTCTACAGAATGAGTTCCAAGACAGGCAGGGTAACAACACTGAGAAACCTTGTCTCGAAAACAACAAAAAGTCAAGTGGCATGCCTTTTATCCCAGCACTCAGGAAGCAGAGGCAGACAGATAGATACCTGAGTTTGAGGGCATCCAGGACTATAAACAGTGAATTCCAAGACAGCCACGATTACACAGACAAACCTTGCCTTGAAAGATAAGGGATATTATAGTAGACATACAACAGTAGAGTGCTCAGCTCAAGAAGTGAAACCCATCATATTAAAAATTTGGCTTTTGGCCAGGCGGTGGTGATGAACACCTTTAGTCCCAGCACTCAGGAGACAGAGGCAGAAGAATCTCTCTGATTCAAGGCCAGTCTGGTATACAGAGTGAGTGCCAGGACAGGCTCCAAAGCTACAGAGAAACCCTGTCAGTAAACAAACAAAAATTGGCTCCTTTCTCCCAAATAACACTCCCTTCCTCTAGAACATAAAATCATATCCATCAATTCACTCATCTTCTACCAAATTTTCTGAGTTCCAGCACTTAAGAATGTTCTCTGGAACATCACAAAGAAAACATGAAATGTAGTTAACAACCATCAGAGTTTATATATGATCCTGACAAAAGATGAGTTTACTGAAATATCCTTACTGGGAAATGAGAATCTTAAAATCAATGGTAGACCAATGACTACATTTTCAGACCAGTGTGACTTTCTTTCTTTCTTTCCTTCCTTCCTTCCTTTCTTTCTTTTTCTCTTTGTTTTTTGAGACAAGGTTTCTCTGTATTGCTTTGGAGCCTGTCCTGGAACTAGCTCTGTAGACCAGGCTGGCCTCACAGAGATCCACCTGCCTCTGCCTCTCGAGTGCTGGGATCAAAGGCATGCACCACCAACACCTGGCTTCTATTTTTTTAAATTAATTTATTTTTTACATTCCAAAACCAGTCCTCCCACTCCCTCACCCCTCTCCTCCCATCTGCTCTACAGAGAGGATAAGGCCTTCCCTAGGAAGTCTACTAAGTCTGTCCCACCATCTCACTGAGGCAGGACAAAGGCACCTCTTCACCCCCACACCCCTGTGTCTAGGCTGGGCATATAGAATGGGCTCTACTAAGTCAGTTTGTGCATTAGAGTTAGATCTTGGACCTGTGCCAGTGACCTTATATATTGTCCCAGACACACCATTGTCACCTATATTAAGGGAGTATAATTCGGTCTTAACAGTGTAACTTTCTTTATGAAAACTAAGAAAAAAAAATAGTACCACAAAGTTAGACTCCAGAATTAGACAAGTCTGTTCTTTATAGATGGATTATACCGCTACATACTTTTACATGCATGATAGAATACCATTCAGTAAAGGGAGGTTTATAGATCTCCATAATGTACACAGCTTTAGGCACTCCTTTAAACTGAGCTTTTTTTTTTTTTTTGCCCCTTTCCCCTCATAATATCCTATTTCTACAACAACCCAGTAATAATGTATCTAGTGACTGATATTAGGATCTTAGTTTATAGTTTAAGGGAACATCTAGTAAGTATCCTCAAAAATCAAATAGGAAATTCCCAAAAGCTTGACAGAATTAAAAATTTTGGCTATAGCCAAGCAGTTGCGACAAAGGCCTTTAACTCCAGCAGGCAGATCTCTATGAGTTCCAGGGCAGCCAAAGCTACACAGAGAGACCCTGTCTCAACAACAACAACAAAATAATAATAACTTTTTTTTTTTTACTACCTCTACCTTCTTTCTAGTCTTCAAGTTATACATGAGAAGCACATACAAGTCCACATTTCTGGTGGCTCTGAAAACTCGTTGGCTCTTGATTTTATATGTCTTTTCCTCTTCTGACTTAAAGTCTTAATGTTGCCCTGGCTGGCCTGGAACTCTCTACTTACACCAGACTAGCCTCAAACTCAAAGAAAGATCTGTCAGCCTCTGCCTCTCAAGTGCCAGGATTAAATGAACTGGTACACCATCAAGTAGGGATATAATACTAAATAAAGCAACACTAGCAAATGTCTACAAACCAGTGGTCGACTCAAGGCCTTGAACAATCTCAAAGATACACTATTCCAAAGGAAATGCCCAAACAGCAGCTTCTACTTGCCAACCTTTGGGACTAATCCTATTTATCTAAACCTTTGAAAAAAGTATTTCTACCAATATGCACTCATGTCTGCAGCACCATAGCCAGAAAAGTTATCAATGTCTTTTACTGAACCACACCAAGCAATACCAAATCTAGAGTTCACTAATAGGTACCGTTAAAATTATTTCAAACTAGGTGAAGCTATCCAGTCAGAGGAAGATGCCTCCAGTAGGCGACCGGCCAGCCTGGGCTACACAGCAGATGTCCCCAAAATAAACAACTACATTCAGACTTCAAAAAGGCCTCGCAACACAAACACAAACACCATTATTATAGCTTCAAATGCTGCCTGCAACTATCTCAAGCTTTAAGGTTTCAAGCGACATGAAGGGATAGCCTAAAAATGAGGTCCTTTACAAACTGACCACAGGAAGTAAGGACCAAAAAAAAAAAAAAAAAAAAAAAAAAAGCATAAAGATTTACCAATTACAAAGGAAAGTGGTAAAAACAGTAAATTCGGCTCTTGACTAGAACATACACACTAGAAGCGAACCAAGTATCTACTGCTAAATAAACAGCAGATTTATCTTTAACAGTTTAAATACGCCGATCATTTTTCACGCTGGAATGCACTGCTACAAAACTGTCGAGGTCGAAACTGATAGTAAAAATCCTCAACTGGTTTTCGGCGAGGAGCCACTCTGCCATAGAGCATCACACAAAAGACAGGAGCGCTCCTAGAAACACGCTCCTAGGCCTTCGCCTACTGAGGCCGTGAGCCGAGGTCTCGATCCCAGAACACCGCGACAGGAAGCGAAATAAGGGATCGAGGAAGGAAAAAGCAGGGGTAGGATCCACTTGGCCGAATGTACCCGGGAGTGAGGGACAGAAAAGAGAGAGGCACGAGCACAGCCCTGTAGGAAGAGAGCGAGGGGAGCTGCAGCCCGGCATCCGCGGCTTCCAGGCCGGCGACACCCTCCGGCCCACACCAGGCCCGTCCCACCTTCTCACCTCCCTCACGTCCTGCAAGCACTCGAGCACAGCCAGGTTGTTGCTCCAGGTGTGTTTGGGGCACACACGGGTCACGTCTTCCCGGCAGGACTCTTCCTCTGCCAGCTTCCAGCCTCCGCCAGTCCCACCGGGCCCCGCTCCGCCCCGCCGGGCTGGGGGCCCGCCCGCCGGGAAAGGAGGCTGCTGCTGCTGCTGAGGCGGCTGCTTCTGCTGCTGCGATAACTGAGGCAGCTGCTGCCCCGCCGGGCTGCCGCCTTCCGCTTGCCCTAGGAAAGATACAATGTTGGGCCCCAGACCCTGGACCTGACCGTGGCTATTCTGGGCCCCGGCTGCCGCCAGCAGCAGTAGCTGCAACGCCGCCGACAAGCGAAACATCCTCGGTACACGTCCACACACCGCCATCTTGGGTTCGCGGCGAGCTCGACGCACCCGCCGGCGACGTGTATTTAAATGAGGGGGCGGGGCCGCGGGCGTGGGCTGGCGTGGCTCCTCCCCAGCGGGCGGCAGAGCCCACGACACGGAGAGGGCTAAGGGTGCGCTGCGAAGGGCCCACACCCTGGACCCGGCTGGCGGGAAAGTGTCTTTCCTTCCTGCTGAGGCTGCTTAGAAAACCTGGGCACCATGGTCTAATTCTCTTGATTGTCGTCATGGGGAAAAAAAAAGAAATTAATTTAGGCTGCTACAACCAAGATGGCTGGTGGAATGTTTCCCTGGTTCAGAGACTCAAGAGGATGAGGGATTAAAAAAAACTTTGTGTGTATAAAGATGAACTTCAAAATTCCAAATTACCAAATGTATAACGATATCTGAGAGCCTCATTTTGTGTCTGACCTTCCTAACTTGTATTTCTTAACTAGAGAACCAGACGGTGATTGAATGAAGGTTATGTGCACGTAAATCATAGTCCTTGCTCTTGGACTTTCTAGGTGATCGCGCAAATGTAAAGGCAAAGTGTGAACACTAGGGATAGAAATAAGGAGAGGCTGCAAATGTAGGCCAGTTGGTAGAGAATGTTTGCCTAGCATGCACAACAGTCATGGATTTGATCCTCTGCAAGGCATAAACTGGGTGTGGTGGCATATGCCTGTGATCTAACACTCAGAAGGTGAAGGCTGGAGTTTGAGGCCAAGTATGAGACTTTTTAAAAAAGTAAATAAATGAAAGATAAAAAGATAAGGAAAATACTTGGCCTGTAACATGAAGTTCCAAAAGCTATAGTCAATATTATTAAACTTCAAGGGACTTTGCCTGGAAATCTTAGTTAAGAACCAGAACCAACCCCCCCCTTTTTTTTTTTTTTCTTGAAAAGATCTGTTACATTGCCTTGGCTGACTTGAAACTCACTATGTAGACCTGGCTGGTCTCCAACTCACAGAGATCCACCTACCTCTGCCTCCTCTGCCTCTGCCTTCTGTAAGCTACTAAGCCCAACCAGACTCATATTTAAAGGATGAAAAAAAAATTAGCAAAAACATGCCTTTGAGGACACAGTTTAAGCCTGTGTCAGTAAATATTTTTGCTGACCTCTATGAAACATCTCCAACATCAATTCACTACACACTAGTGTCCAATCCTTTTTAGGTTGAGAGCTTCACGTTTCAGGAACCCTCTCCACAGCCAGTGTATCATCTAAGCCAGCATCACAAAGGTTAGGTTCTAATCCAACTAAGAAAAACTTTGTATTGAGGGAAGGTATTAATGGTTCTGTGCAGAGAGATTAGATGAACTGCCCAGAATGAACTCTGCCAGTCTGCAGACCGTTTCCAACTAAGCCTTCCCACCACCCTGGTACACTCTTATCCCATTCTAGCAATTCAGAATGTTAGTGGTAAATGAAGACAATTTGAGACATGAAACCTCTACTGATCAGCACATTTAAAAATACAGCTTATCAAGATGGTGGAGAGCTGGGAAGATAACTAAGAGGTTTTGAGTATAGGCAGCTCTTCCACAAAACTGGAATTAGATCCCCAGCATCCACATGAGAGTTATAAAACCATCTGTAACTTCAATCCCAGGGGCTCCAATGCCCTCTTGAGGCTTCTGTGGGCACTGCATGTATATGGTGTACAAAAATACTCATGCATGCAAAAACACCTATAGACAAAAATAAATAATAAAAACATTTAAATCAATCCAGGTGTTGGTGGCACACACCTTTGATCCCAGCACTCAGGAGGCAGAGGCAGGCAGACCTCTCCATTCAAGGCCAGCCTGGTCTATAGAGCTAGTTCCAGGACAGGCTTCAAAGCAATACAGAGAAACCCTGTCTGGAAAAACAAACAAAAACAAAAATATTTAAGTAAAAACAAACTAAATAGATGTGGTGAAGCATGACTTTAATCCCAGCACTCAGGAGGCTGAAGTAGATGGATCTCTGTGAGTTTGATGCCAGCCAGATATACACAGCAAGTGTCAGGACAGCCAGGATACATAGTGAGAACCTGTCTCAAAATGAAAACAAAACAAACATAAAACTACAGCTTCTGCTGTTCTGAAACCATAATTGGACAGTCTAGACTAGAATCAGAAGAGTTGGATAAGGGCTTAAGCACCAGAAAAGGAAACCCTGATAAGTCAGTGGTTTGAAACTGCCCACTGTGGCTGGCCCTGGTCTCTATCTCTAGGAATGGAAATATGTGGGTTTTCACAGCACTTGCTCTTGTTACCACCACAAATTTATCTGTAGGATTCCCTAAACTTTACCATGAACTAAAGTAGCTCAGGATGGACTAGATAAATATAATATAAATATAATTCATAGTAGTCACATGACATATGTCTCAAATAGCTACATCACCAGAAGTCCTTGAAGTCATTAAGGGCCATTAAGTTTCAATTCTGGGTCTGCAAAACTCAGATAGTAAGTGGGAGATAATTTTAAGCCAATCTAAGGCTAGAGATTGACAGTCTTCTCAGAGAAGGCAGCAGTTGCCTATCTTTCATCTTGCATTAACAAATCATACACCAAGCCACAGATTTTGTCTAGTGATAGGGAAGAAGATAAATTTATCTTAAAGTCTCAGTGACCAAGAAACAAGACACTTAGAAATCTGGGAACCTGGCCAACTCAGGCTGTGTCCCACAAATCTAGACCTTACAGAAGGCACAGACTCCAACCAGTAGAGAGATGGTTTTCACTAAGGTCTTCTGGCCTCATTAACTTTTCAGTATAAAATACACTACATCAGGCCAGGCATGGTAGCTGATGGCTGTAATTCCAGCACTTAGGAGGAGCAAGGCAAGAGAAACACTGTCAGTTCCTCCTGTCAACACGCACGCGTGCACGCACACCAACCACCTGTTCACATAGCTCAATGGTTTAGCATGTGCTTAGCATGGAAGGCCCTAGCTTCAGCCCCTAGACTTAATAAAATACCTCTAGCTGAACTAGGAGTTTTTACTCATTATACTGTTTTAAGATACCTGTTTGACTAATTTATTTATTCAGTAGGTACTGTTGACCATCTTTGTCTTGGTTTTTGGAACAAGGGCCTTGAACCAGAGACCAGGCTGGCCTAGGTCTCACTATGAAGCCCAAACTGGCCTTGGCCTCTAGATACTCTTGCCTTGGCCTCTCAAGGGTTGGGATTACAAACTAAGCCATTACACCTGCTAACGAAAACATTTTCTAAATATGCCAGGCATTGCTAAAGAGCTATCATATGTGAGGGATAAACAATAGGGCAGCTAAAAATTGTTTAAAGCAGTGGAGTGTAGTGGTTGGTGCACACCATTAAGCCTTGAATTCCAGCACTCCAGGAGTCAGAAGCAAGCAAATTTCTGAATCTAAGGCCAGTCTGGTCTACAGAGAAAGTTCTAGGACAGCCAGGGCTACACAAAGAAATCTTGTCACAAAACCTAAAATAAAAATAGTAATAATAATAACTATGTAAGAATTTCAAATAGTACAAGTGCTATGAAGAATCATAAAAACTGTAGTGTGACTAGGCAGAGGATGGGGGAAAGGCTGTCTGGGGGATAACTAAGCGACCTCCCACCCCACCATAAAGATGGTAAAGAACTGGGTCTAAAATGTTCTAAATTAAGAAGTTAAGAACCAAACTCAGTGGGGGGGGGGTGGAGGGAAAGAAGCACAGTTTCAATACCAGCACTCAGGAAACAGCAGGCAGATCTCTGTTGAGTTTGAAGCTAGGCTGTTCTAGAATAAATTCCTGGACAAACAAAACTCAAAAAACAAAACAAACAAACAAACCTAAATTCAAGACCCTGAGGAGACTGGAATGGCATTTATAAGGAAGGACTAGGGTTAGGTATGAAGACACAGGTCTGTAATCCCAGCTAAGGCCAGGTGATTGCAGATTCAAGGCCATGCTAGGCTTTGGTGGCTGCAATGAGAGTTAAGAGATGGGAAAGTCTGAGACCTGGAAGCAATGAACAGAGTCAGGGAGTGAAGGACTACAAATCTTACTGAAAAGGGAGTACATTTTGAATGGATTCTCCACATTGTGACAGCTCATCAACAGATAGTACATATAGGAAATAGTATTTTGTTTTGTTTTTCAAGACAGGAAGTCTCTAAGCAGCCTTTGATGTCCTGGAGCTCACTCTGTAGACCAGGCTGGCCTTGCGCTCACAGAGATCTGCCTGCTTCTTCCTCCCAAGGGCTGGAACTAAAGGCAGGCAACACCAGCGGCAGAATAGTCTTTTTATTGGGCTAAAAACACACAGGAAGTAGTCCAGAGCCTCACTGAAAACTGCCACAGGGTAATCTGTCTCTAATCTCACCTTCAGGAGGATGAGAATGGGTCTGACACAAGCCTAAATTACTTAGCAAGACCCAATTTCAAAAAATAAAACCACAAAAGACAAGCTAGGCATGGCCACCTATCCTTAGGATACCAATTAAACAGACAAGTGATAAAGAAAAATGGGATGTATTCAATGTGGCCACCTTGGGAAGAGGAATAATGAGGTGATCCTCCAAGTTCATCTTCCTTTAGGGGTAACATGAGGTTTAGATTTACATAATGTATAAGAGTTATGCACAGCTAAGAAATGTAGTGAAGGGGTTAATGTGTGGCCCTGGCCATCACCTACCCATTGTTTTCTTGACTTCACTATCTCAAGATGGTCTGATAAGTTGTCAGAACTGTGTGAAAGTGCCCTCCCTACCAAGTACTCCCCAAATTCCCCCTCTCCCTATAGATGGCACCAGGCTTTACCCTTTCATTCTCCCAGCCTGAGATTCTTGGAAAAATTGCAATTTCTTAGGGTTCATTGTTTGAAAGATCTGATGGTCTAAGGAAGAGACGTATGTCTCTTTAGAGTAACTCTACTCCTGCCCCCCACCAAAAAAAAAAAAAAAAAAAAAAAAAAACAAAAAAACCACCACCAAAAAAAAAAAAAACAGGCCCTTCCCCCAAATAAATCTCAGTGAAGGAAAACCACAGAAAAAGAATTTAAAACCTGTGAACAAATTCCTCCTAAGCCATGGGCTAACTTTTAAGAGGGGCAGGCATATAGCAAGGCTCCAAATGCCCCAGAAAACAATAGCTGGGAGAGAAATAAACTGAATGAAGCTTTCGGGTTTAAAACCATGCTGAGATACAAGTAGCTTTAGGTAAACATTACAACACTTCAGCTGAGGCTTCAGAAAGGCAACACCCTAGAAGTGAAAGCCACAGCCCGTAGGAAACACCTTAGGAGGAAGGACCTTGCCCTAGATTAAAGGGCAAAACTACAATAGATCAGCCATTATAAATCTTAAAATAGCCCTTAATGAGATGAAGGTTATCCATCTACTTTGCATTCTGCACACATGAAGAAAACATTTCCTAGAAAATATTTTTGTGTGCGTTATTCTTGTGCCTTATTGTGGGGGTTGTTTATGTAGGGGTTATTTTTGAGTGTCTCACTGGATAGCCCTGGCCAACCTGGAAGTCAATACACAGATCAGGTAGCTCTCAAACTCACAGAGATGCTCCTGCCTGACTCCCAAGTACTAGGATTAAAAGCTGGTCACAACCCAGGCTGGCTTTCTTTTCTTATTTTTGGTTTTTCGAGAGAATGTCTCTGTGTAATAGCCCTGGCTGTCCTAAAGCTTACTCTATAGACCAGGCTGGTCTTGAACTTACAGAGCTCTGCCTACTAAATGCTGGGGTTAAGTGTGTGCCACCACTGACCAGCAGCCCAGGTTGTTCTTAAGGATGACTTTGAACTGATCATTCCGCCTCCACCTTCAGTTGGAATCATAGGTATGAGCCACCACCACACCTAGCTGTAGTTCCTCTTATCAGGTAAACAAATATTAGTATCTGATGTTTTCCCAGGCACTGAAAATTGAGGAAGGGGCATGTTTGTCTAGTGATACTAAGTACATTCACATTATCTTAACAGTTAGGATATCCCCTTCATGAGAGGAAATAGAGTCATGGTCTTCACCAGTCAGAACTTCACCAAGTATAGATTCTGACTCTAGTTCTTTCCGGACCATTGTCATTTCTTCCCATCTGTTCCTGGGTACAACAAATTCTTGAGCTTGGGTTGGGTGTTGTTTTTTTTTGAGACACGGTCTCACGTAGCCCAGACTGGCCTCCAACTCACTAGTAAAGGAGGCCCTGAACTCCTTAATTCTCTTGCTTCTACCTCCCAAGTATTGGGATTGCAGGTGGGCATTTAACACACTAGGTTTTGAACAGCCAATTTTAGAGCACATTTAAGAAAAAGACTGGAATCATGCCATCATATCACCTCTACAACACAGCTGAGAAGCCATCTTCTTACCAACAGCACTTACGTCAGACAGCAGGGTCCATAAGAAGAGTTTTACATTTTTGGAGATAAGTCCTTACTATATAATCCATGTAGCCAGGATGCCCAAAGGTTCTAATTTTAACTTTAATTGTAAGCTTATCCAATTGTTGGCAACTCAAGAGCTTTGCTTGGATAAAGCTCTAGGTCTTTTTAACTGATTTTTTTTTTTTTTTTTTTCTTTTGGAAACAAGGCCACTATCTTGAAATCCTATTTTCCCTTCTATGTTCATCATTTCTTTTAAATTCAGATGTTAGTTGTGGTCCAGGATGCGCCTCTAGGAGTCTTTCTGCCTAGTGTCCATTACTGTACAACAATGAAGACAACTGTTTTATTTTTCAGCACAAAGGTTATCTACCTACATTGTCCTGGAGATAGAAACCTAGAGAGTCAAAATGAGCTTTTACGTTTTCAACATTTCAAATTTTAGAAAGATTTGTACTTGTGTTTTGCCTGAATGTTATGTATGTGCATTGCAGGCTTGCCTGGTACACTTGGAGATCAGAAGGTATTGGATTCCTGGAACTGTAGTTCCCAATAGTTGTGGAGTTATAGACTATGAACCCAGATCCTCTCAGAACCCTCTAGTAGACACTAACAGAGAGAACACTGGGGTTGGTGTTATACATGACAAACCCTTTATTTTGCTAACATTACAACAAACACTGAAACACAGCAAATATTCAAAAATCCCAATGCATTATGACAAGATTTTAAAACAAATATCTTGGTGATAAGATTAGAGTCTGGGTCTAGAGATGATGTTTCTTGCAAGTAAGGGTGGGGGTAGGGTAAAGCTTTCTTTAGAGAATCAGTTCATCATGTGAATCTGCTTCCAAAACACGATTTGGGTTTCTGATAGAGCTCAGTGGTCAAGCAACAAAACAAGTGTGAGGTCCTGAGCACCCTCCTATCCCAATCCAAATTTACTGTGGAAATGCAAGAAGTGGCAAGGCTTGGTATTTATTTAACTTAGCTTCTTCAGGAGTAAATCTCCCCAGTAGGCCTTAGTTAAACATTCTTCAATGCCAATCAAATCCTAACCCTACCCCAGACCAACCTGACACCCAGAGCTTTCTCTCTGTGGCCATCTGCTCAAGTTACTTGAATTCTATTTAATTTAAATCCTAGTCTGTCTTGAAGCTCCAGGCCTAGGCAGATACTTTTAAAAGTGGGGGAGGGAAGGGAGCTTTTTCTCCAAGATGTGGAACCTGATGTTTTTAAAGTTTTAAATTTAAAAACAAACCAACCAACCAAACAAACAAACAAAAAAAGTATCTTCAAATAGGTTTCATTAAACATGTACAGCTACAACTTAGAACCCTGGGAAAATTAACCTTAATTCCTTGCTGGTAATAAAGACTCCCCAAACAGATCAGGAGTTTGATAGATAGAACAGTACTTTTACTAAAAAGGATAGTGCCTCACCAATAAATTTTTGAGGCAATCATGTTGTCTATACGTTAAGACAAGGGCAGCCTAAGGCAAAGTAGACAAATGAAACCTGAACATAATTCTAACTGCTGGACAGTTCAGGACCACCAGAATAGAAGTTTCTAAGTGTCTTCCTTTCTGTCATCCACAGGTCTAACCACTACTGCCTTCCTGAGAATAACCACACTTTTAGAAAAAATTGAGAGGCAAATTAAAGAAACTTTAGAATCAAACATTTCACATGGGGAAGGGAGTCTTTATCTGGGAATTGTACATGTTCAAGCACTGGCTTGGTAGAGAATAAAAACCCCTGAGGATTTTACACTAACTAGAAAATTCTAGGCCTTTCACAATTGCTCAAACAACTGATCCTTTTCTTTACCTCTCATAATACAATGACATTAATGTACATAAGCTTTAGCTATGGCTCTACATATAGCTAGCTCATCAACCACCTCCATCACTGGACTTGTCAACAATCTAGTAACCATATATACTTGGAATGTAACTCTTGTTGCCACAACACTCACCACATGTTGTACCAGACACTGGGGGCAGACAGCCCAGGGGTGTGGGTGAGATCAAGTCACTAAAAGTTATGAGCATTCAAACTTGGAAATAAGTCAAATTCTACCCAAGACAATTCAGGCTGGTTGGGTATCACAGCCTCAAAGTGCTGTGCATACTCATATCCTAAATAATAGTTGAGAGGACTATAAGAGTGCAGAATTTAAATAAAGAATTTCCAGGCAAGATTCATAAAGGTACCCCTTTTGGTGCAAATAGAATACACAATCTTAGTGTCTCCATGACCTAGAATCACACTAGTCCAAATGAAGCCATGATCCAAAAGTTCTAGTTACAGCATATAAACAGGTATCTTGTTCAGGGCTACTAGGTGCTAAAAACAATATCTAACATTAACCAGCAGCATATCTGGAAGGCCTCAAGACCATGCTCACTCCCATTTATAAAAATGGACAGCCTTCTCAGTTAAGGTGGCCAAATAGCTGTTCTGATTTGCTTCAAATGGGCAGATGTCCAAGACAGGTTGGTCAGTCTTCAGGTCCTGCAGCAACAAGCCACTGCCAGCATTCCACAACTTAAAAAACAAGCAGAAATAGAGGTCAGTAGTTAGTCAGCCCAGATGGGGAATAACTGTCGCAACCTTACTTAACACTGTATAAAACTAACATACCCTAAGTTGGTTTAAAAAGCAAGTTACGGACTCATTTTTTTCATCTATGTTCCAGAGACAGAAAAGTCAATGAAGTAAGACCACTATCTCTATCCTCATAGAACTTATATTAAAAAAACAAAAACAAACAAACAAAAAACCCCACTATTTATTTTAATTATGTGATTATGTGTGTCCATGTGGGGTACTTGTGGAAGAATGTGGGTCTCCTGGAGCTGGAATAACAGTTGGCCGTGAGCCTTCCAATTTAGGTGTTGGTAACCAAACTTGGATCCTCTGGAAGAGGACCCTAACATGCTCCTAGGTGCTGAGCAATCTCTCCAGCCATGGAACACACATTCTAGTGTTTTCTTTTTCTAGAATATTTACTACAACACACTTGTAAAGTATCTAAAATAGGGCCCAGTAAGGTGGCTCATTGGAAGACACTTGCCATGCAAGTCCAATGAGTTAGAAGTCCAGCTCCTAGGTAAAGGCGGAAGGAGAACCAAGTCCACAAAGTCCTTCTCTGACCTCGACCTGTGTACTCTGGCACACACTCATTGCCCCCAACATCACATACTAAAGGTTTTACAAGTTGAAATGTGCCAGGCATGCCTTTACCTCTAGCTTTCAGAAGGCAAAGACAAGCAGATCTGACTTTCAGGCCAGCATATATAGTGAGTATACAATGAGACCCTCACTCATATACTGAACTAACAAAAATGGTACAGTAAATCACCACCAGACTATCTTGAGATGGGGTCTCACTGTGTAGCCCTGGCTAGCCTGAAATTCATTATGTGGACCTGGCTGGCTTTGAATTCAGGGATTCTCTACCTCTCGAGCTCTGGGATTACAGTAAATACTGCTCTGCTTGGCTTTTTACATAAATGTTGGGGATCTGAATTCAGGTCATGTTTCATGGCAAGCACTTCACATTTTACCAAATGAGCCAATTTTCCAATAAACATTTTAAGTAAACTTTGATGTTTTAGCAATCCTGCTCTCTTCCCTTTATTGTGCTATTACTTCACATTGTTTAACACCTATGATGTAATCACTATATACCAGTGATAGTTTTGTGTGTACATATTTATATGTATGGCCCTACTTGTGCATTTGGAAACCACAGGAGAGTATGGAAGGCAGGGTTCTTCTGGTATTGCCCATTACCTTTAGACTGGTGTGGTGGTGGTTGGGACTAACTCCCTCACACACACTAGGCAAGTTCCAAGACCCTCAAACCCTAAACTATTTTTAAATATAAAATTAAAAACAGGCTCACCAGGGCAGACTTTGATGCTTCATCCCCAGTACATACTAGGACTTTGCCATCATTCTCTGGGCTTTGGAAGATGGCATTTTTGGTCAATAGTTTACAAGTGGGTCCCCCAAGGAATGTTTGCACAGGAAGACAGGAACAGACTGGCTCTCCAGCATCATCTAGTTTGTAGGACATCTCCAACAGCACAGTTCGTATGGTGTTATGGCTTTTATCTATGAGATAGAAAAATTGGTGTTACCTCATAGAAATGATACAAAAAAATTTGAGTCCCTGAACCTCAAATACTTACAACCTAGCTGAGTAGAAAAGGTAAATACATTAAACCCACAAGACCTACAAAGCACATACAACAACATAGTACCAATGAAATTCAGGAGCCTGGCCTAGGATTAAAGGAAGTTATCTGGAATAGATTTTTCCTAGTTGAGAAACAACTCTCAAAATGCACTGGTTTTGTATAATCAATATATCTTCTGAGATTTCCTGGGGAATTTGTTTTTCAAGTATTCTAATGGTATTTTCCTTTTTCCATTGAGGACTCCATTAATTATAACAAGTAGAGTTACAGCTAAGGTATTTTGAGAGGTAAACAAGGGCTAGGAAACAAAATGAAACCCCAAGCTTGCTTTTTTATTTTTATTTTATATTCATTGGTGTTTTGGCTGAATGTATGTCCATGGGAGGGTGTTGGGTCCCCCAGAACTGGAGTTACAGACAGTTGTAAGCCATCATGCGGGTCCTGGGAACTCAGGTCCTCTGGAAGAGCAGTGTTCTTAACCACTGGACCATCTCTCCAGACTCAAGCTTTCTATGCAAGTTATAACATGATTTGTAAGAGCCAAAAGTTCAGAAGCAGCAATTGAAACAGTTTCCCAGATAAATATTCAATGATGAGATCCACCTACAAATGGGCTCTTTGATGGTCAACTTAACAACTCTATCTTGGAACCCATTTTTAGGCCCAACTTAAAATCAGTGTACACAGAGGCTTCTCTGTCAGCCAGGCATGATGAATTAAACACCCAGTAATTCCAGCACTTCAGAGGCTGAGGCTAAAGAACTGCTACAGAAGTATGCAGCAAGACTGTCTCAAAAAATAAAATAAATGAAGTGAAATAAAATGCCCTCTGTGAGTGTTTGTTTGCTATATAATCCACTTATCCTTTATCTCACTAAGTCAAAACACAACACATTCCAAATACAGTTCAATGGTTGACATCAGTCATAGAAATAAGTTTTCCCATTCATGTTTTCTTTAAACTAGCCAATTCCCTCCTCTCCCCAGAACATTTAAGGGACAGTATCCATAAGCCTTAATAGAGACAGTCCTCTGTTTTTTCCTCTGTTCCAAATGACTGAATATACATACCTCAGATGGTTATTCCTTGTTCCCAAGGGCCCTACAAAGCATGTCTCTTTTCCCTGGAGCTTTAAGTAGTAAATTTCCTTTTGTTATTTCATGAGTTTTGTTGTGCTGTCTCTGTGTCTCACCTGAACCTATCTTCTGATCTGGTTGAGGCTCTTTCAGATAATAACTATTTTGGTAGTAATAGAATAAACTGTCCTCAGACCAGGTAAGAATCACGACAAAGGTGTCTGCCAGTATAAACAGTCTTCCCCTGAGAGAGACACCTAATTACAGGTCAGAATTTAAGATATTAGGTGCTTTGCTGGGTAGTGGTGGCGCATCCCTTTGATCCCAGCACTCGGGAGGCAGAGGCAGGTGGAGCTATGTGAGTTTGAGACCAGCCTGGTCTACAAGAGCTAGCTCCAGGACAGGCTCCAAAGCCACAGAGAAACCCTGTTTCAAAAACAACAACAACAACAACGAAAAGATTATTAGGTGCTTGTCAGGACAAAGACATGGCTTGTGAAAAGTACACCATAATCAACTGTTACTAAAGATCCAGAATCATATTAGGATGGCTAGAATTCATAGCCATTCTCTTGAGACCTCAAGACCAAGTTAAAAAGGCAAACCCTCACCAAACTGACTATCACCATGGTTCATCAGGAATACAGATTTTTTTTTTTAAAGGAGAACAAAACAAACCTACAAATTTAATAGCTGTTCAGAGATCTATCCCTAGATTTGGAGGATGAACACAATGGACTCCAGAAGCACATGGCAGAAAGAAATGGGAGCCATCATCTTCACTGTAGTACTAACAGTTCCAACACAACCAGCCTGTCAGCCTTAGAGAGGTTTATCAGAGCCACTCAAAGGGAATGTCTTCTTTTCTGTACAAATCTCCCCCCAACCACCAAAATAGCAGGTCCCTAAGAACTTCAGAACTCACCAGGCCTGTAAGTCACAAGACAGTGTCGGGTATTGCTCTCTGTCTGAAAGTCTACAAAGCCCCCTGGCTCCAAGGATAGCACATGAGGCTTATGAGAACAGTCTGTTTTTAGCTCCCAGAAGGAGGCATTCTCCAAGGTTCCAGCCAGCACCCCACCATAAGGAAATGCAGCAACAGCAGCTCTGGGTAAGTATGACAGGGATACCAAAGGACATCTGAAGGCAAAAAAGAAAACTATGACACACATTCTAAATCCAACACTTTAGCTGCTCCAGACCTCATGACCAGGAGACTCGTGTCATATTCCCATCTCAATAGAAGTCAAACAGAAGGCTGAATATCCTCCAGCATCCTCTAAACACAATTAGCTATCTCTATAGGAGAAAAAGGAAATACACCATGACATTCTGTATCTACTTTCAACAGCATACATCAGATGCTCCAAAGGAAAGCCCTGTTAACAAAAACAGCCTAAAGCAACCACATTGTAACTCAGAAAAAAGATGATTTTTGTGTAACCTTCTTACCATAACCTCATAATAACCCTTCTGCATCAGCCCCCCAAGTTCTGGGATTGTAAATATAAGCCACCAGCACTAGTTAGACCTACCTCTCTCCCTCCCTCTCTCTCTCTCTCTCTCTCTCTATATATATATATATATATATATATATATATATACACACACACACACACACACACACACACACACACACATATACATATATATATATATATATATTTTTTTTTTTTTTTTTTTTTGAGAAAGAGTTTATTTTTATACCTCTGGCTATCTTGGAACTTTTTCTGGAACTTGTTAGCCTCCAACTCAGAGATCCGCCTACTTCTGCGTAAGTGCTAGGTGGAATTAATGGTGTGCCCCTGATCCCCATGCCTGGCTTTGGTTAGATTTTCTAAATTTCCTTCTGCAAGTTTACGAAGATACTATCACAAACACCACTCTATAGGCCATGTAACTATGAATTTAATTATGTAGAAGTTACCATACTAAACACTTTATTTTGGTATTTCAAGACAGGGTTTCTCTGTGTAGCCCCAACTGTAATAAAATTCGCTCTGTACATCAGGCTGGCCTCCAAATCACAGAGATCTGCCTGCCTCCCAAGTGCTGGGACTAAAGGTCTCAAATCTATTGATTCTGAAGAGATAAAAGTATCAGATCTTAGATTTCTGGTCAACTGTTGAGACACTCTGAGGAATGAACTAATATAGTAACAATCTAAAAGAATGCTATGGTCAACACACATAAGAATGAGTTTTTCCTACCTGGCTTTCTGAGGCACTAACTCCTGTATATAGGCATTTGTGTTTCGTAGGTCATACATCAGAACTGAACCATTAGCCAGTCCGGCATAGATGTAATTGTTTTCATCAAGACACCAGCAACAGCTCCAAACAGGACGTCCAGTATTATAAGTCTGCACCACAGTATTTGTTTCAAGGCTGTGAAGTTATAAGAGAGTTTTACCAGTAAATCATGTATACAATCATGATAATATTTAATAATAAAACATTTAACTAAGTAAAAACTTATTGAGAACATATCTGCAACATGAACTACAGAACTACATGGATTTCATATTTTCTCTGGGAACTGCATCGTTCTCAATTCCAGAACACTTGTGCTTTCTGGTCTGCAAACTTAATTCTTGAATTACAATGAAGTAAAAGGGAAGGTTAAAGGAATACACAAATGATACATTCCCTTCTCTACTGAATTATTTTCTCTATAGCTAACTGTCACGCAATCAGTAAGCAACACAACAAAGTAGAAAATACATGGAAAATCAAAAGTTATAATCCAACCACCCAGAAGTAGCCATGAACAACACTGTAACAGCACCTCCCCCAATACACAAACATTCTCTCTCCCTCTCTCTCCCTCCCTCTCCCTCTCTCTCTCTCTCTCTCTCTGTGTTGACAGACAAACCTAGGATTAATGAACAGAGGGGTTAATGCATGGTAGGCAAGCATTCTATCACTGCACTACATCTCCAGTTTATCCCTGCCTTTACTAATGTTTGGAGACAGGGTCTCACTATGTAGCCCTGGCTGGCCTAGAACTGCTGAGTAGACCAGACTGGCCTTGGACCATGATCCCATTTTTGCACTCCAAGTGCCTGGGTCAAAGTTGTGTGCCACCATGTCTGTCCCCCTTTTAATTATTTGTTTTTTAACTCATAAATTATTTTTTAGTATGTATGGGTGTTTTGTCCACATGCAAGTCTGTGAACTACGTGAGAACCCTTCCTGAGGAGGCCAGAAAGGGTTTCAGATTCCCTACAACTGGAGGTAAGACAGTTATGAGCTGCCATGAGGGTGCTGGGAACTGAAACTAGGTTCTCTGAAAGGGCAGTAGTGCTCATAACTACCAAGTCATCTCTCTAGCGCACTCTCATCCATTTTTAAAAGATTTTATTTGGGGGCTAGGCAGTTAGTTCAGCAGTTAAGAACACTGGCTGTTCTTCCAGCGGACCCAGGTTCAAGTCCCAGAACCAACTGTCTATAACTCCAGTTCCAGAGAATCCGACATCCTCATCCAGACATACATGTCAGCAAAACACCAATGTACATGAAATAAACATCCAAAAACAAAAGATTTTTATTGTGTATATCCACACACAAGTGTCCTCCTATTGGGTCCCTGAAACCATCTTTGACCCATTCAACGTCGCATGCTATGAACAGAACTATCCTGATGCGCAGAGCCATCTCTTCAGTACCCATTCCTATCGCGGTAAATAAGGATCAGGATAAACAAATAGGCCGAATAGATGTTTATTCAGGGAGAAATAACTTACAACCTAGACAGATGAACACCAGGAAATTCAACCCGATCCTCTCCTGTCCAAGTCACGCCAGAAAGAGAGCGCCTTTCCTGGCCCCCTCCGACCTCCTTCCACAGGTCACTCCGCCCATGGCTCCACCCCAATGGGCGTGGTCAGCGCCACAGAACTATCTCACTACACATTCCCACCCTCATTATTTAAAAAAAATAACCCCCCCCCACACACTTTATATAGTATATATGTGTGTGAGAATGTGGATGCATGCAAGTCACATTGTAACTGATTACACATTAACTTAATGATCTTCTATGTCACTATTATTTCCTTTCTTTCTTTCTTTTTTTTTTTTCTGTCTCACTCATCTTAGGCTGACCAATCCTCCTGTCTCAACCTTTCAGGGGCTGGGATTAGTGGCATCTGCTTTCACACCCCATTTAATACCTACTTTTCTGTTGTTGTTTTTAGACAGGTTCTACCTCTGTAGTTCAAGTTGTCCTGGAATTTTCTATATAGTCCAAGACTGGCCTCCAACACATGGTAATCATCATGCCTCTCAGGATCCCAAATGCTAGGATTACAGGTGTCAATCACCATACAGAGTTTACATACTTTTATTTTATTCATTTGTTTTGAGACAGTCTCTTCATATAGCCCTTGCTGTCCTGGAACTCATTATGTCTAAAACACAGATCTGCCTGCCTTTGCCTCTTGGGTACTGGGATAAAAGACATGTGACTGTTGCTTATATACTTTTAAAAGGAGACAATGCCTCAGATCAGTAAGAGAACTAAGACTAATTTGATGCAGTGGCCCAGACCCAATCTTACCCTTGACTTACTTACCTGGTCAGTTTAATAGTGTTGTCAAAGGAAGCAGAGAGCAGTAAGCCTTTGGATCGACTGCTGAAAGCTAATCCACGTATCTGCTTGCTATGCATAGGAATGTACTGACTGCTTTTCATGTTGGCAGTACTCAACATCTTAACACCAAAGCCTACCAAAGAAGAGAGTTGGAAAAAGGCATATAAAGGTAAATTATGGCAAGAATCGAACTATCTTTTAAAATAATTAGCACCCCTGTCTACCTTTCTTGGAAATCCAAGTCCCTAGAAAACAATCAAATAATGAAAATGAGTATTTCCTAGGTTTATTATCCACTTATTTGAGACAGGGTTTCTCTGTGTACCCTGGCTGTCCTAAAACTTGATCTGTAGACCAGGATGGCACTGAATTCAGAGATCTGCCTGTCTCTGCCTCAAATGCTGACCTCAAGTGCCACCATGCATAGCACCAACATCCATTTCAAGTATCCATCAATAGATGGATGAGTAAATAAATCTATCATGTACACATACAATGAAATACCACCCAGAAATAAACTATTAATTTATATAAAAATAAGGATCTTAAAAAAAACAAAACAAAAAAGCTGGGCAGTGGTTAGCATTCCAGGACAGGCGAGGCTACGGAGAAACCCTGTCTTGAAAAACCAAAACAAACAAACAAAACAAAAAAACCCAACAAACAAAAAAAAGGCATACATCTATATGATGCCATTTATATATAATTAGTGACAGTGACAAAAGGCACATCAGTATGAGTGAGAAGGGATTAAGGATAAGGAAAAGATTACAAAACTAGTCAAAAAAGATTACAAAACTAGTCAAAGCTACTTTAAATATGTACAATTTAATAAGTTATACTTCAGTAAGTATTGGGACAGTTGGGCATGGTAAGATATCACTACAATCCTAACATGTGGGAGATATAAAAAGCACTATTGGAGTGCTGGAGAGAGAGCTCAGCAACAGGGTTCAATTCCCAGCATCGACATGGCAGCTACCTCCTGTCTGTAACTCCAGTTCCAGGGCTTCTGACAACCTCACACAGACTTACATGTAGGCAAAACACCAATGCACATAAAATAAAAATAAATTATAAATGAAAAAAAAAAAAAGAAAGAAAGAAAAAAGGAAAAAAAAGCACCTTGGAGATGGTGGCACACACCTTTAATCCCAGCACTCCAGAGGGAGAGGCAGGGGGATCTCTGTGAGTATGGGTGCCCTGCCTGCTTGTATGCATGTGTATCACATGCCCACAGAGGTTAGAAGAGGGCACTGGATCCCCTAGAACAGGAGTTAGGGATGGTTGTGAGCCACCATGTGGGTACTAAGATCTGAACTGAGTAGCCAGTATTCTTAGCAATTGAGCCATCTCTCCAGTCCTGGCAGGTTTTACTTTTAATATTTATTTTATATTTATGCTTTGCCCACATGTACGATGTGTACCATATGCATGCCTGATGCGCTCAGAGGCCAGAAAAAAGGTGCCAGATGCCTTGGAACTGGAGTTACAGGTTATAGTGGTTGTGGAAACTGAACACAGGTCCTCTGGGAGAGAAGTTAATGAACTTTAGTGCTATTAACCATCTCTCCAGCCCCAGTTTTATTATCTATGTGTGTTTGCCTGTGTGGGTATATGAACATTAAAGAGGAGCTGGAACCGGAGTCATAGATGGCTGTAAGCCACTAACATGGATGCTAAGCTTTAACTATGGAATTCCAAAAGTGTACCTCTTTCTTGTCTGAAAGTGCACAAAGTGCTCTTAACCACTGAGTTCTCTGTTCAGCTACCCATTGATGTATATTAATAAAATGACTATTATATTCCTGAAATTCTCTTATTTGCAATTCAAAATATTAAATTTTATTTATATTTGAATTAGTCTCTAGAATAGGCTATCCTGGAACTAGTTCTTGTAGACCAGGCTGGTCTTAAACTCAAAGAAATCTGCCTGCCTCTGCCTCCCGAGCGCTGGGATCAAAGGCATGTGCCCCCACCGCCCAGCTAGAATAGTTTTGTATTCATAGTAAATAGCATACACAGGGAATATTCTCCTTGGACTATACCAGTGACCTAGACTTCCTTCCATGTACCTCCTTTCTCATGGTAACATTACTGGCTATTTCTACATTCTTGATAAATGATTTATAAAATAAAAGCAACACACATGAAAGAATTTTTTTAAAGGAAGGCAATAGCCTATGCAGTGATAAAAGTACTATTTGTAGACGAAAGAGACATTTTCTGTTTGTTTGAAGGAAGGTCTCACTACATAGACCACAGTGATCTCAAACTTCTGCCTCAACCCCCTGAATTCTGAGACTATAGGTGTGCATATGCCAACAGAACCAGCTATTTGTTTGTTATTTTTATGTAGTTCTGGTGTTTCTGGAACTTGCTATGTAGAACAGCCTGGCCTGGTCTGGAACTCATAGAGATTTGTCTGTGTCTCTCAGGTACTGGATGAAAGGTGCTTTTGCAGCACCCCCAGAAGCATTTGCATTCAATAACAGGGAACTGTCAGAAAAAAGTGAGCTGATAGCCAGTGTTCAATCACTACTGAGCCCAAGAATCTTCAAAAAAGGGAAGAGAAGCAAGGAGTATCTAATAATGAATACAAAAGATGAGGTTCTGAATTGGTTACCTGGGAGGAAGGAAGATTGAGGAGAAGGCTGTGATACCACTAGGCAGCTCAAACCATCACAATATGCCATGATTCGGCAGTTCCCTGTCTGAGATATTGAGAAGGTCTTTTGGAAGTGGTATTTATGCTGGTTCTGGCTGGAGGGTAAGCAGTTCACACAGAGTGCTTGGGAGCCACTGTGTTTCTGTAGAATTTGATTCTGATGCCGCATAATAAGGGTTTCTAAGTCCTATAAGGAAAAAGACTGTAAATAAAGATTTTCTTTTATTTCTCCCTGAAGAATGATTTCTCTTTTTTAAATTTTTTATTTATATGCATTGATGTTTTGCCTGCATGTATGCCTGTATAAGGGTGTCAGGTACTCTGGAACTAGAGTTACAGATAGTTGTGAGCTGACATGTAGGTGCAAGGAATCTAACCTAGGTTCTCTCCAACCAGTGCCCTTAAACACTCAGTCATCTCTCCAGCCCCCAGTAACAGATTTCTTGAATGGATAAAAGATTTCTTGCCAATCATGAAAATGTTACCATGAATCTTAAAGAACTGAATTTCAGATTATTTCACCAAGTCACTGAAATAAAGAATGCAGAGACTTATCAAATATTGGTAGTCCTTAGTGATTGTACTGTGTCTGAAGCCCTCATGTTAGTCATAGAAGTATGTGAGTTCTGGGCAAATGTCCAATTAGTGAGAAAAACCCAAGTAATATTTAGATTCTTCTTAAATTGTCTTTCTCTTTAATTCTAAAATTTTTCTGAGTAAAGGCTGAAGAGATGGCTCAGAGGTTAAGAACACTGACTGCTCTTACAGAGGTCCTAAGTTCAATTCCAAGCAACCACATGGTGGCTCACAACCATCTACCATCTATAATGAGAACTGATGTCCTCTTCTGGCAGGCAAACATGCAGACAGCACACTAAATAAAACCTACCAAAAAAAAATAAGTACAAGCTCACCTGGACACGGCTATTGAGTTTCGTGCATTTATCAATGAGGACTTGAAGTTGGAGCCGGCACTGTGCAGATTCTAACTCAGCCTGCTTCCTGAGCATTTGTTCATTCAGTAAGTCACTAGAAGGGAAAAGCCAGGGGAAGATGGGTATTAGGAAAGCTACAGAAGACGTCCCAGTGTAAGAAGGAACCAAACTGAAGCCATTCTGGATAGAACTTCCATTCTAAATAAGGGTCAAATGAACTTAAATGCCCAAGACCTCCCTAGATAACTGGCACTGACACCCTGGTTGGCATGTTTGAGACATGAATGGTGGGCAAGCCGCCCAGCCATACTCAAGTAAACCAACCAATGAGAAGACGATAGCTGTACCACAGAGATATGTTCCTAGGAAAGTCCCTAATCCCTGAACCCTTATTGGTGAAAAATGTAATTGTAACTTGGCACAAATGCTCATAGTTCTTGTGCTTAAAGCATTCTGGGGCTTGGGTTGTGCTTCAGCTCCCCAGTCTGTGCTGTAGCCCAATTCATTAGTAGTGGCTTGATTACAATCAATTTTTGTTTTTTGCAGACTTGGTGTTTGAATTGTGTTGGATCCAAGTAGACCCCATAACACTCACAAGCTGGCATAGTTAAGTTCACATTGTATTGTGATAAACATTCTTTAAGTATGTCTTGACAATATAATAAAGTACAAAATGAACTCTCTAGTAGAATGTGGAACTAAACAGCCAGCCCACTGGGGTTTGGTGTCAAACGGAAGCAATGGGAGCCAGAAATTTGACTTCTACTATTGAAGACTAGAGAAGCATAGGAAAATGAGCTAAAAAAAAAAAAAAAAAAACCAAAAAACTAAAGCAACTCATAAAAGATAAACTTAAATGTGAAAAGATTATCTATTGCTATAAAAGAAAATAAATTGCTGATTGTCACAACGTATGTAAACTAAATAAACTAACAGAACTAAAAAGGCTAAAGCTTAAAAAGATAAGGAAGCTTACACTAAGCAAATTCTAAAAAAAGGCCAATTAGAATGAAGGCAATATGCATAGGCAAATAAATAATATATAACCATAAATTTACATGTACTTAAACATAATTTCAAAATATGAAACACAAAAACAAGATCAAAATTTCACATAATTGAAATAGCAAAGAGAAAAAGATATGAAAACTAGAATAACAATGCTGCCCTTATTTATTTCACAAGAAATTAAAGACTCCCAAACTATTACAGTTCAACTAGACTGATGCATTAAGACAAAGAAAATCAAATTAGCCCAAATATGGTAGCTCATTCCTGTAATGCCAGCAACTAAGGAGAGACTGAGGCAGGTGGATCACATAAACTTAAAAGTTGAGAGTCAGAGTGAGACAACTGAAAACAAAGAAAACAAAAACACTCTATAAGAGGGTTGGAGAGATGGCTCAGCAGTTGAATATTTACTACTCTTGCATAGGACCAGGGTTCAGTTTCTAGGACCCACATGACAGTTCACACTTGCCTGGCACTCAAGTTCCAGGGGGAATCTGATGCCCTCTTCTGTTCTTCGAGAACACCAGGCATACATATGGTGCAAATATATTCATGCAGGTCAAATACCCATCCCATGAACATTAAAGAAATAATCTTTAAAAGACAAATGGTGGTGGGAAGGGGAGTTCAAAGTTATCCTTGTATACCAAGAGCAAGGGCAGTTGGACTACACAACACCTTGTCTCAAAACAAAACAAGTACAGGTGATGAACAACATCCTCGATTTAAGACATAGGTAGCAATGAAGTTTGTGCAAAAAGAACACAGTATTTAACAAATTATACTACAGCAGTTGGTAATCCATGATTTAGAGTTAAGAGCCAATTTGAAAAAATGTTCAAAGATCATTAGAGCTACTACATCTTGGAAACAAGCACAAACAAGGGATTGATCTATCTACATAGAAACAAAACTCACAGGCTGAGCTGGTGGTGCAGGCCTGTAATTACTATTCAGGGGGCTGAAACACCAGGCTCACAAATTCTCAGCTTGTTTGTCTACAGAGTTCAAGGCCAGCCTGAACAACATAGAGACCATCTCAAACAACAATAGATTCCTCCACAATACTTAAAAAGTAGTTTGTTTGTTTGTTTTTTGGGGGACAGGTTGAGACTCACTTTGTAGACCAGGCTGGCATCATCAACCGGCCTCTGCCTCCAGTGCTAAGATGAAATCCAGGGCCTTGCAATGTTAAGCAAGTGCTCTACCACCAAGTTAAACTTCCTAACCTCACATTTTATTTTAGGTTTTGGAGACAGGGTCTTTCTATGTAGCCATGACTATCCTAGAACTCTATCTATATAGACCAGGCTGGCTTCAAACTCACAGAAATCTGCCTGCCTCTGCCTCCTGAGTACTGGGAATAAAAGCGCGTACCACCACATTTGGCTTCCAGCCTCACATTTTAAATTCTGTATAAACAACAAATCTTGCAGAATGTGATTATGTAAGTAACAGTGCCTGAGATTATAACTTCAAAGATCCTCAGAAATCCCAAGTCAGAATTAAGTAAAACTCCAGAATCATAACAAAAGTAGATGGATAATTTCCTTATCAGATATACTTAAAAAGAAGCTAAGAGTGCCTCTGGATAAAGTGTATCCTCCTAGTCCTGGGAGCAGTCAAAGGTTTGTACAGGTAGCAGATGGGTTAAATGGGCACCACAAACTGGAGAAGTCTAGCTGGGGGGCAGTGGTGATGCACACCTTTAATTCCAATCTTCAGGAGGCAGAGGCAGGTGGATCTCTGTGAGTTCAAACCTAGTCTGCTCTACAGAGGATAACCAGAGCTATACAAAGAAACTGCCTTGGGGGATTAAAAAAACACAAAACAAAACAAAAACCCAAGAAACAGAAAGAAAAAAACAAAAAACAAAAACCCACCCCTCTACCTAGGCAGATTTAAAACTTTTTCTCCCTTTTATCACATTTATTTACTGTGTTGTATATACATGTGTGCGGAGGTCAGGGAACAAAATTCAGGAGTCAGTTCTCTCCTTCCATCATACAGGTCCTGGTTACTCAATTTGGGAGCAAGTGCCTTTATCAACTAAACTATCTTACCAGTCCTAGTTACCTACCTTTTTATGCGTTCCTGTTCACTAGTGTCCAAAGCTCTGAGGGATCGGGCATAAAGGACAACGATGTCACTGTGCTTGGCTTTCTTGTTGCACTAAAGAGTCCAATGAGATACAATCAGTATTGTTCTAGGGATTCTGACTTAATACACAGCCCTTGTTTATGGTCCTTACCTGAGGACATTTTCGTGTTTGTCCTTTCAGCCACTTAGAAATGCATCTATATCCAAAGAGGTGCCCACAGCGCAAGGCTGAGAGACGGTGGTCCCCAGCACTGGTCCACTGTTCCAAACATATTGTGCAAGTCTCCCCTTCTTCATCATTGTCCACAGAAGGTAGAATGCTGGGTTTCTGGTGAGACTGCTGGATTAAAGTTGAAATGCATTCCAGTGAGAAAGTGCAAAAACAGTCTCATGTGCAAACTACCAAATAAAACTATCAAAATGATGTAAACCTAATTGAAAACCAGTAAGAAATGTATAACACCTACTAGTTACATGTCATTTTTATAAAATACAATCTGACAAAACATACATTGTATGCTAATATAATACCTACTTCTGGAGGTGAAGTGAAATTTTATACATGCTAAACATGTCTTCTACCATCAAGCTAAATCCCAGTAACACTGTTTTTTTCTTTTCTTTTCTTTTTTCTGTTGAGAAAGGGCCTGAATATTGAACCATACTGGCCTCAAAATCAGATTCTCATTAAAAAAAATTCTTTTCTCTTAAAAAAAAAAAAAGATTTATTTATTATGTATACAGTGTTCTGCCTACATCTATGCCTAAAGGCCAGAAGAGAGCACCAGATCTCATTACATATGGTTGTGAGCTACCTTGTGATTGCTGGGAATTGAACTCAGATCCTCTGGAAGAGCAGGCAGTGCTCTTAACCTCTGAGCCATCTCTCCAGCTCAGATTCTCTCAATTTAGCCTTTTTAGTGCTGGGACTACAAGCAGGCACCAGCACACTTGGCTTACCTTTTGTTTTCATTCATTGATTTATTCTTTCATGGGGGGTTAAGACGACAACTTCTGGGGGTTGGTTCTCTGTATAGCACATAGGTCCCTTTACCAATGGGAGAGCTACTACTACCTCTCTGAACTCCTATTTTTGATCTTACAAAATTTCTTTGATTCCCTTTTCCAATCCAAACAGTTACCAGTCTAAAGCTATAGAAAGTGAAGCAAAAACGCTCTGGAAACTACCAGGGTAACCAACAACAGGTAGTAACTGGTAGGCTACTTTTTACTACCAGTCTTGCCACAGTTTAGATTGATTTTGAAAGCATGTGATTTATTGCCTCCCCTCAAATTTATGGCTTCCTTTTAATTGTTACACGTGTGTGTGTATGTACACATAACACACATATTAAATATAAACACTACATGTTCAGCCCACATAATGTTACTCGCATGTACACTTTCAGGGCTGACCATTTGGTATTGGATAACCACTTGGTACACTCCTCTGCATTCAGTATTCTTTTTTGTTTTTGTCTCTCTGTAGCTTTGGAGCCTGTCCTGAAACTTGATCTGGCTCTGAATTCAGACATTCACCTGCCTCTGCCTCCTGGGTGCTGGGACTAAAGGTGTGCATCACCACAGCCAGCTGTATTCAGTATTCTTTATTTGCCTGTAGTTCTTTGTCGGGGGTTGAACCCTCATTGCCTTTCCCTCTTCTATATTAGCATGTCCATTGGTGTCCTCCTTGTTCAGGTCAAGAAGATTCTTTTCTCATATTTTGTTTCTCTGTATAACATCCTTGACTCTGTAAACCAGGCTATCCTTAGCTTCACAGAGATCTGCCTGCTTCTGTCTCCCCACAAGGAGGCTCTTTATTCATGCAAAAGTAAACTGATCATCAACTCCTATAGACATAAAATATTCAGCTGATCCCAGTCAAAGTAGAATATGAGAAAACAAAGAACATGTATCTTAACACATTCACAATCAATAAGCAAACATTTATAGTTACTAATTGCAACTAAAAAAACCTTTTTTTGTTTTGTTTTATGAGACAGAGTTTCTCTGTACTGCTTTAGAGCCTGTCCTGGAACAAACTCTGTAGACCAGGCTGGCCTTGAACTCACAGAGATTTGCCTGCCTCTGCCTCCAGAGTGCCGGGATTAAAAGTGTGTGCCACCACTGCCCAGAGACCCTGTTTCAAATAAGTTTTTAATCACATAGCAATAACATTCTGCTTGATTATTTATCTCTCATTTTTTAAAGTTTTTAAATATACCTAACATTTTAAAACAGGAGAGGAAGCAATCATATAAAAAGAAACAATCACAGCCAGGTGATAGTGCACATCTTTAATCCTAGCACTTGGGAGGAGGAGGAAGGGGAGTAAAGAGGGGAAGGGAGAGGAAGAGGGGGAGGAGGGAGACGGGGGAGGAGAAGGAGGGGGAGAAAGAAGGAGGAGGAGGAAGAAAATAACAGAAGCAGTTACACAAGGAATAACTGAAATAGAAGCCACATCTGGAATTCTCACACACAAAGCCTGCAAAACTTTCCAATTTAACCTGTAGTCGCATTTAAAATGGAAATCTTAACTTTTTATTTCAAAGGATGTAGTGTCATATGCTTGAAACCCTAGTTAGCACTTAGTAGGCTGAGGATGGAGAATTCTGAGTTAAAAGCCAGACTACCTTCTGGTAAGACCTTGTATCAAGACAAATGAAAGAGAGAAAAAAAAGGAAGAACATTCACATTACCTCTTCAAGGACTGCATCACCGCCTGTGACAGATGTAGCTTCTTGTTCGGTTGAGCTAACTCCTTGTTCTACCAAGTTGTATCCAGAAATGGTAGCATAGATAATATATAAAAGACAGAAGTTAGGTTTGAAAAGCTAACAAGAGAGCCTCACTACAGCTGTCCATCTGTTTGTAGTATCCTGCAAAAGGATGTCAATTCTACCATTTAACACCAGTGACTTATTTTTACTACTTACTTATTTTGGATATTCCATAAGTGGACAAAACAGTATTATCTACAAACATCCAATACTCAATTTAAAAAGCAAATCAGGGCTAGAGAGATGGTTCAGTGGTTTAGAACACTGGTTATTTTTGCAGAACACTCAGGTTTAAATTCCCAGCATCCACATAAAAGTTCACAGCCATCCTAAATTCAGTCCCAGAGAGAACCAGATATCCTCTTGGGTAGTAGGCACACATTTAGTACACATATATGTAAGCAATGCATTTATAAAAATAAAATTTGTCTAAATACAAAAAACTCACAAATTCTAAGCCCCATTCCATTATTTTATGTATGTTTGAATGTCAGACAAACCTAGGTGTCAATACATTTGTAAAATCCTTTACAATATCACTAAACTTTTTTTTTAACATAAATTGCATTATTAATATACCTTAAAAATAGTAATTTCTCAAAACCATCTAATAATAATCTAGTTTATATTAAAAAATTCCACAGTAGTTTCAGAGTTACTCTTTACAGTTGATTCTCATCTTTTTTACTATATATTTTTATTTGTTTAACTTTTGAGACAGGGTTTCCTTTGTGTAGCCTTGGCTATCCTGGAACTCCCTCTATAGATCAAGCTGCCTTGAACTCAGAGATCCGCCTGCCTCTGCCTCCAGAGTGATGGGATTAAAGACATGCACCACCACCACATTTGAAAAATCAGTTTTTCTAATACTGGGCACAAAATTATTCCTAACAACAATTCCAAAGGACAATGAGGAACATTCAGTAAAAATAACTACACATGCTACAAATAAGACATCATGGCTGGGTGGTGGTGGTGCATGCCCTTAATCCCAGCACTCAGGAGGCAGAGGCAGGCGATGATCTCTGAGTTCGACGCTACGTTCGTTGGAGTACAAAACAAGTTCCAGGATAGCCAGAACTTTTACAAAAAGAAATCCTGTTTTCAAACAAACAAACAAATACAAAACAAAACAAAAATAGGGTCTGGAGATACAGCTCAGCAGTTAAGAACACTTGCTGATCTTGCAGAGAAATAGGATTCAGGTCCCAGCAGCCACATGGTGAGGCTCATAACCATTGATATAACTATAGTTTCAAAGAATCCAATGTCTCTTCTGACCACCTTGGGCTCAGGCATGGAAAATATCATACATATGTGCAGGCAAAACACTCATAAACATAAAATAAAATTTGAAAAATAGCTAAAAAGTTTTTTTAAAGGAAAAAGTTACTTAACACAATCTGGGTATTAGTGGGTTTTAAATGTAAACAGGACACCTACTTTAGAGGGTCTCTGTTCACCAACTGCTAAACAAAATCATATTGACGCAAAGTATAACATACTAAGACCTGAGATGTCACAACTCAGATGTAAATATTTATCATTATACAGCCCAAGCTGACCTTGCATTCACATTGTCCTATTGCTGCCTCCAAAATGATGGTATCATACCATTTGCGCCAACAACATAGGCACACAAACCTTTTAAATATACAATTTACTTCCTCAGATATATTTAAGTGACTAAGGAAACACTATCTTGTCCTGACTCCATTTTGGGTCTGCCCAATCATTTTTCAGCCTTCTAGCCACATCCACCTTGGCAATACTTTTGGGACTGTCCATGACCCTGACCATGGTCCAGATTTATTTGCCAAAATAATTAAATATTTATGCAAGCAAAAACAAGACTAATAGAACTAGAGATGCATGTATCAGTAACTGTCATGTTGTATCTGGAAAATACTGCTAAATTCTGGAAAAAGATATTACAAGGTTACTCACTTCAATCTCCTCTAACAATGATGTATTTATGGTTTGTCTTTAAAAATGATGCACTTTGGCACCAAGATACATTTTGGAGGCAATAGCCTTCTCTTGGTCTAGCCATTATTAAAAGGTTCTAATAACTGGCTTAATTGGTGTAGCAGTTAGTAACCATCTCAGGTGGATCACTGCAGTATAAAAAAGCGAAAGGGAATGTAAAGTGTTATTACAAAGGGGCTGATTTGTTGGAACACAAATCACAGAAAATTATGAGACAAACCAGTTTTTTTAATGTCACCATAGCCAGTGAAAGCTATCTATGCCATGTGGATTTTAGTTCTGAGAATACAAACCTAGATAAAATACAGACCTGGATTGTGAGCTTCAGGTTCTTCTGCCTGTACAACAACCTCTTCATTCTCTGCAGAGCTGTCACTGTCAGAATCAGTACCCGATGTTGGATTCCTAGTCTCTGAAGCAGGAGCAGTGGCCGGTACATAAGGCTGAGACCTGCTTACCTGAAAGTAGGCATGCACTGGCGTTCTCAACCTGTGTGTATAGAGACAAAAGAATTACAGTACAATGGACCACCGTTGCAAGACTAATCTGTGATGATGTGAAGACTATCCCTAGTCAATCTATTTCAAGGCCATTAAATGCTTCCTTTGAAAGCTAAGTGAAATCCAACATTATTATAGGGCTGGAGAGATGGCTCAGCAAGTAACGACATTTGTTGCTCTTACAAACGGCCTGGGCTTGGTTCCTAGTACCCACATAGCAGCTTACAACTATCTGTAACTCCAGTTTTAGGAGATCTGATGCCTCTGCCGACTTTGATGGGCATCAGGCACACACATCATACACATACATACTCACAGGCAAACGATTGCATACGTAACAAGAGAACTGGGTTGGAAAGATAGCTAGCTCAATGATTAAGAGCACTTATTGGTCTTCCAGAGAACCCTGGTTCAGTTCCCTGCACCCACACAGAGTCTCACAACTATCTGTATCTCCAGTTCTAGATCCAATGCCTCTGAACTCTCATGCATATACCTACACACAGAACCCCCACATAGACACATAATTTACAAGTAATTTCTTCTGTCTTTCTTCCTTCCTTCCTTTCTTTCTTTTTGGTGTTGTTTTTTGAGACAGGGTTTCGCTGTGGCTTTAGACACTGTCTTGGAACTAGCTCTTGTAGACCAGGCTGGTCTCAAACTCACAGACATCCACCTGCCTCTGCCTCCCAAGTGCTGGGATTAAAGGCATGCACTACCAAAGCCCGGCTAAATATAATATTTTTAAAAAATAAAAAATAACAAATTAGGCAAATACTGGTTAAATATACTTTTTCCCCCCATTGAATCATGGGGTCTTTTTAGGAAACCAACCACCAAACAGATCTTATAATGAGGATTCTCTCCGAATAGACCTTGTATTCCAACAGCACTGAGCTCCCCATGGTGGCTGCCGAACAGTCTATTTTCAAGGCTACGATGGGTCTAGACAAAGGGATAACAATAGGGAACATTACAAAATGTACCAAGGTTCACTAATTTTTCTTTACTAAGCACTCCCTAGATTACTACAGGAATTTGGTTCTCAGTTATGAAAACGATTGATATTTTACTCGCACCTTTACTACTCTAAGAAGAAAATTTTCTATAGTCCTTATTCTGTTATTTTTTGGTAAAGTGCTTAGTAAGCACAGGGTTCAGAGTTCCGGAGCTGGATCTCTAACTCCAATCCTAAAGAATTTCATATGAACATTTTCTTTGTGTCTCACAATGGAGCCTCAAATAGGCTGGCCTAGAACTCACAGAGGTCTTTCTGCCTCTGCCTCCTAAGAGCTAGTATTAAAGGCAAGCATCACCACACTTAGTGGGTTATTTTTTGTTGTTGTTTGTTTTAATAGACCAGGTATCAAGTAGCTCTAGTTGGCTTCTAACTTGCTATGTAGCCAACAATGACACTGAATTTTTGATCTTCCTGTTCTACTTCCCAAGTGTTGGGATTAAAGGTATACACTTTATATACATTGATGCTGAGAATCGAATTCAGGACTTAGTGCATAGTAGATAAACTCTACAAAGTCTGATACAGCTCTTTAGTTAGGGGTTTCTTAAAACTAAAGAAATCCTTTTATACCTGTTTTAAATTAAGTTTGGTTCTTTTTTTTTATTTTGGGTTTTTGTTTTGTTTTGTTTTGAGAGAGTTTCTCAGTAGTCCTGGCTATCCTGGAGCTCCATCTGTAGACTATGCTGGCCTCAAATTCAGAAATAGGCCTGTCCATGAGTGCTGGGATTAAATGTATGGGCTACTACCTCCTGGCTTTGTTTTGTTTTTTAAGATAAGATATCCATTCTCATTATGGGACTAAAAAGTGCTGGGATTAAAGGCATGCACCACAGTGGTTGGTCTCTTAAAAAAAATTTTTTTTTTTTTTTTTTACCATTTAGCCTGAATGTTATGTCTGTGTACCACCTGCATGTAGTACAAAGGCCAGAAGAGGGACATCAAATCCTTTGAAACTGAGGTTATCAAATGGTTATTAGCTGCTATGTAAATACTAAGGCTCAAATCTTGGTCCTCTGGAACAGTAGCCAAGTGCAGAGCCATTTCTTCAGCCCTCTCACTCTGTTCTTGAGTGAAAGAATACATTAAGGTTTTTTTAATTATTTGTAGTCCTAGTCTTCCTTGGCTTTGTGATAACAGGTACTCTGATTATCACTATCTCTAAGGTAAAATTCAATTTTACATATTAGTTATAATAGCTTTGGCGGCGAAAATCAAGCAGGATGGAGTTTGTAACCTTGGCTTGGGGGTCTGCTGGGAAAATTGGCTCACTATTTTTTCCTCAAATTGGTCTCTTGGCTAGGTCTAAGGCAGAAGTTGCTCATTTTGGCCCCATGGAATCTATCAGGTGGGTCAATGGCAAACATTATATTGAGAAATTCATCTCAATTTCAGAAATTCAGAAGCCAGCATGGCTACAATTTCAACACTCAGGAAGTGGAAGTTGAAGTCTGTTACCAGACCAGTCTAAGCTATAAAATAAGACTTTATCTCATTGGGGGGCGGGGAGCCCAAAACAACCAACAAAAAGCCTTATCCAATGCTGGTGAAGATGGCTGAGTAAGCCAATCCCTTGAGTTTAATTAACTGGGGACTATAGTAGGACAGAACCAACTCCTGCAAATTGTCTTCTAACATCCACATCCATGCTGTGCCAGGAGTGTGCTCGTATACATACACACAAAGTACATGTGAAAAACAAAACAAAAAGCTGGGCGGTGGTGGCGGCGCACACCTTTAATCCCAGCACTCGGGAGGCAGAGGCAGGTGAATCTCTGTGACTTTGAGACCAGTTTGGTCTACACAGCCAGTTACAGGATGGGGTCCAAAGCTACAGAGAAACCCTGTCTCAAAAAACAAAAAAAAAAAAAAAAAACAAAAATATAGAAGTCTGAAGCAACCAGTTCTAGGAAAATTCAGCTATACAAATTTAATGTAGAATTTTCTTAAAACACAGTAACTGAGAAAAATGTTTTAGTATTGTATACATCATGTTAGAGAATCTAGTGAACTGCAGAGCCTTGAACTTTTTAGGTTTACTCACTTGGAGAAAAAGTTACATAGCTATCTATCAAATGGCTTGGCTGACACATATTTCAACATCTATTTTATAATCCACCACTTATAATTTTTTTTTTTTTAAGACAGGGTCTATGTAGAGTATGCTATCTTTAAGCTTACAGAGACCTGCTTGCCATGGGTTGAGATTAAAGGCATGTACCACAATGCCCAGAATTTAGAAATAAATAAATCTTTAATTGGGGGAGGAACACACCATGGTTGGGGAGATGGCTCAGCAGGTAAATCACCTTCCATTCAAGCTTAAGGACTGGGAGTTCAAATACCCAAATATCTGTAAATGTGGGAAAGACCATGGAGGCAAGAGACTCCCAAAGAAAGCTAGTTAGCTAAAATAACCACATGGGAGAGTTCTAGGTTCAACTGAGATCCTGCCTCAATACCCATGTACACACTCCCTACATATGTGAAAATATTTTAATTAAAAAATAAAAGGTTGGTATGGGGATGCTGCAGAGATGGCTCCTCAGAGGTTAATAGCACTACCTGCTCTTCCAGAGGTCCTGAGTTCAATTCCCAGAAACCGCATGGTGACATACAACCATCCATAATGAAATCTGGTGCCCTCTTCTGGCCTGCAGGCATACACGCAGGCAGAACACTGTGTACATAATAAAGAAAATAAAAAGGCCAACCTTCAATAAATACTGTTGCTGACAAACTTGCCTCTGGTTTTCAACGCACATCACCGAAACTATTCCCTCAATACTAAAAGAAATAAACAAGGCAAACACTAATTTTATCTGATCTATCATGAAGTGGGGATTCTGAAAAGCTAACTTTGGTAGCACTGGAGGTGTGACCAGAATCTGGTTTTACAATTCAGAGTGGCATCAATCATTTAACTTATATTTTACCTGGCACCATTTGGCCTCTGAGACCCTCCAGTTCTTGCCCTCATAATAGATCCTGCTCTTCTCCTTGTTCTCATTGGCCCCACACTATGGTCTGCTGGTGGAGGTCTCAGTAATTCCAGCATGTTATGAAGTCTCTGCAGCCCATTGATGAAGTTGTTCATTGAAACAGCCGTAGCAGCTCGGACAGTTTGGTCAGCATCAGATCCCTGTCTGTGCTCCTCAGAAGTTCCTGGATGGGCAGTCTCCATATTTTCTTCTGAGAGCTGTATTTCCTCTGTCAACTCAATGGATGCTGGTGGCACAGGCTGTAGGGAGTGCAGTCCGCTTTGGCTGCTGCCCACTTCAGCAGGCTCAGGCTGTCCTCCTTGGCTATTGACCACTTCAGCAAGGACAGGCTGGAGAGGTGCCACTTGGCTAGTAACTTCAGTTGAAGGAGCCTGATCTGTAGTACCATCTAATGGTACTTGAAGATCACAATCCATTGCTTCATGAGCCATCACTAGGGATAGGGACAGAGTGTTTATAAAGCATATTAGTAAAATAGGTTAAAAAAAAAAAAAGACAAGAGAACATATTATATAGTTGATATAACCAGCCTTTTAGAATTTCTGTTTATTTCTTAGCAAAACAGAGGGTTTAAAAAAAATCTTAAAGGTTAATGAAGAAATGTTTTGGCAACCAATCCTGGAGCCTAGATGATCACCATGAATTCAAGGCCAGCCTGGGTTACAAAACAAGACCAGACCAAATCAAACCAAACCATTTACAACCATTTCCCTATAATCATAGTATGTCCCAAAATAAAAAGACCTATAAGGAGGCTTAACTATTGTATCCAAAAGTAATCTCACAGAAACCCTGCGATTTTGTCTCAACTTACATATAGGCTTTTATCAAAACAAAACAATGCTGTATATAACAGGTAATGTTAACCTTTCATAGTGTCAAAAGCAACAAAGGATAGACAGAATGTGGTGACGGAGGACTGAATACAGGGCCTTGCACACACTAAGCATACTGCTCTACCACCTATTCTCAGCCAAGCAAATGAAGATATTTTTACATTTGCAAGATAAAATTGCTACTTAGCAAAACCTTATTTTAATAAGTAATATTACTAAAACTCCAACAGACTTCTATAAAAGAACCTAGCAACTTTACCTTTTTATGCAAAAAAGGAGATAAGCTTGAAAAAAAAAAACTTTACTCCTCAAAAAACACGTAAAGTAACACTTTTAATGTGGTTCTAAGGTTTAACGACATCCTCACAAGAATCAAAAGGCCACTGCTTAGTGTCTCAAAACACTAACTCCATCCTTAAGAGAGGCAGAGCAGGAGGACTACCTCAAATTTGAGAACAGTCTGGGCTCCAGAGGGAAATACCTAAGTTCCTTATAGATGCACAGTGGAGTCATTACTTCTTATGTAAACAAAAGGCAGGATCGGATCAATAAAGGCAGAATGTAGGGACACACAACTGTCCACTCTGAACACTATTTCATACAGGAGGCCATTTGAAGTTTACAAATAAATTCGTTCCTCAATCGCACTAGTAGAAAGCAATAAACCACCTTTCCCCAAATCCTGGACACGAACCCAGGATTTTGTCTAAAACAAACCCACGGTCCCTGCCGCTTCTTCTTTACCCTCAGCACTTTACAAAACCGAAATGCCAGCGGCCCTCAAAACGTGAACTTCACATCTGCCACCTTACAAGGAAGTTTCGAAACCACAAGGTGGGGAGGGAAGGAAGACGGCCCCCAATAAACAGGGCGTCGGGAGGCCGTGGAGACTCGGTTAGACCTGGGTTCAGATCCAGGCTGCCCCTTTTAGTACCTGGAAAACCTAAACTGTCTGTTCGAGCATGCTCCTCCGCAGAAAAGAGATAATGAAAACACTTACGTCACAGCTACACTGGAGGGATCGTGGTAAAATTTCAGTACTGCTAAAAAGCGTGAAACAAGGGCCAATGAGTATGGGAGGGCACCTGGAGACCTACTCCGTCTGAGGCCTGCAACCGGAGCAACCGAACCCCGCTTCAGCTCCTTCCGGAGATCCCATCGTTTCCACCTTTCTTGCCCCCGATCCCCAAGTTCCTCGGGATGCAAGGAAGAAGGTTCGAAGAGCTCCGGAGGAAAGAGACCGCTGAGTTCCCAACCCGCCAACAGCCAATCTGACTAGGCCCCGCGACCAGGCACAAGCCGAGGGAAGACAATCCGCATCCAGGGACCGGAGGGAAAGCAGGCACCTGTCTCACCTCAAACTGCAGAGGCCAGTTCCGACGCCCGGGCCGACCGACCGCGACTTGTACGGTCGTTACCGAGCAAAAGTCAGCGTGCAATCCCGCCAAACAACACTTCTGTACTCCGCGCTCGAGCAGCGACTCATCGAACTCCTATTGGTCAGCCACCAAAGGCGACGCCCAATCCCCTCTCTTCTTCCATTGGTCGCTGCTAGTTGAAATAGTGGCGCTCTTATTGGCCAGCTCTTGATACTTACTTGGCCAGAACTTCATGCGAGGAAGCCTCGTACAATTGGTAGAAATCCATGTCCGTCATCTCGCCCCCAGCCCCTAAAGGGTTATTGTCTTTTTTTTTTTTTTTCTATTTCTTTTTCTTTTTAAACCGTTCTGCATTTGAACAGCCTAGCAGGAAGAAGACCAGAGGAAGAGAGTTCTCCATCCGTTTTTCTAATGAAAGTGAAACTTAAAAGTGATTTCCTCTGCCTCTCTCTAGGCTATGTTAACGAATATTGTAATTTATCAATGATATCAATATCAAAATATTGTCCCCAGAATTCTGGAGTCTCGGTTCATGTGTATTTTCTTACAGGATTGAGCAGCTTGTCTTCAATGGTCAAAAAAAAAAAAAAAAAAAAAAAAAGGTTTTGCACAATTTCTTAAATTTAAAACTACTCCAATAAATTGCCTAGGAAGTCTAAATTGTCACATAAGATTTTTCAATCATGTCTCTGAAAGAAGAAATCTTACTTAAAGTTTTTTTTTTTTTTAAGAGCAGCCAGTGCTCTTTTTTTTTTTTTTTTTTTTAATGTATTTATTGTATATACAGTGTTTTGCCTGCATGTATGCTTGCAGGCCAGAAGAGGCAACAGATCTCATTACAGATGGTTGTGAGCCATCATGTGGTTGCTGGGAATTGAACTCAGGACCTCTTGGAAGATCAGCCAGTGCTATTAACCACTGAGTCATCTCTCCACTTATGGGTTTTTAAAAACAAAACTTCAGACACAGACTGTACATTGCCATATTTTTATTCAGCTACCAATTTTTAGTAGAACTGATAGTAGAGGACAATATAATACAAAGATAATATTTAATATTTTTATTCTCTACACCAGCACCAATTTTATTTATTTATCTGCATTTCATGCGTACTGGTGTTTTGCTTGCATATATGCCTGTGTGAAGGTGTCAGATCCTCTGGAACAAGAGTTACAGACAGTTGTGAACCGCCATGTAGGTGCTGTGAATTGAAGCCAGGTCCTCTGGAAGAGCAGCCAATGCTCTTAACCACTAAGCCATCTCTCTAGTTCTCTGTCACTGAATTACTTTTCATCTGGGCATTGGCTGGCCAGTGGTAACACATGCCTTAAATCCAGAGGTTGGAGGATCTCTGCGTTTGAGGCCAGCTTGGTCTATAGAGTGAGTTCCAGAGAAACCCTGTCTCAAAAAACAAAAACCAAGCAGTGCAGTGGGAGGCAGAGGCAGGTGGATCTCTGTGAGTTCAAGGCCAGCCTGGTCTACAGAGTGAGTTCCAGGACAGGCTCCAAAGCTATAGAGAAACTCTGTCTTGAAATACCATTGTGTGTATGTGTGTGTATCTGTATATATAAGTACATCATCAAATACTGGAAATTTTTTAATTAAGAAATTAGTAAGTATGCCACAGTGGTATAGCATTTGTTTAGCATCTGTGAGGCCCTGGGTTCAAGATCAGTACTTGAATAATAAAATATATAATAATAATAATACATTAGTACTATATCACATGGTAAAAGAAATTTAGACAATGTAAAAGGCTTCTCAGTGAAACATAAACATTGTAAATGTTTTGATAGGATCTCCAGTCGTGATTTACACTTGCCTTTGGGCAAGGAAATGTAATACTTCCAGTACCTTTGTAAGCTCACAGTTGGAATAAACCCCTGGATCAAAAGATGAGCTGCAGAAGAACAAAGTGTTCCATCTTGCCAGTGTCCAACATGTGGGAGAAGCTCAGTGGATAGCATCTCAAACAGTGGATTAGCTGCTTGTGGTGGCTCCCCCTGCACCCCAGCACTCAGGAGGCTGTTAGGGGAAGACTTTGAGATTCAGGCTGGTCTGAGTTATAAAGTAAGACTCTGTCTTAAAAATAAAATAAAAATTGAGAAGTGATGGCCTAGAATTCCTTCAAATACAGCATTGTTAACAAGAGAACAATGCACCTATGGAGAAATGAATCAACAAAGGAAGGAATTTGGGACTCTCAAAGGCAGGAGATGATGGGAGAAATAATGGGAAAATTCTAGTTCAGGGAGGTTTGCTTATAAATTGCCATGGGCAGATCATAATAATCTTGGTAAGGAATTTAAATCCTCGCTGGTTGTGTTAGCTCACACCTAACATCCCAGGATTCAGGTGACTGAAGCGGTGGGATCACTGTAAGTTTGAACATACTTGGCTACATAGTGAGTTTCAGGCCAGTCTGGACTACAGACAAAGAACCTGTCCTAAAAAGCAAAAAGGACTGGGACTAGAGAGATTATTTAGTGGTTGTGGTAGTTTGAATATAATTGGTCCCCATAAGGTCATAGGGAGTGGCACTATTAGAAGTTATGACTTTGTTGGAATAGGATGGATTTGTTTCAGGAAGTGTATCACTGTGGAGGTAGGCTTTGAGGTCTCATATATGCTTAATCCCAGTGTCTCAGACCACTTCTTGTCTACTGATCAAGATGTAGGACTCTCAGCTCCAGCACCATGTCTGTTGCATGCTTCTGTGTCCTACCATGATGGTAATGGACTAAACCTCTGAAACTTTAAGCCAGCCCATTAAACATTTTCCTTTATAAGAATTGCCATGATCAAGGTGTTTCTTTTTTTATTAAAAAGTTATTTTTCATTTTACATTTTGGTTAGTTTGGATAAAGGTTTATCTATCTTGTTGATTTTCTCAAAGAACCAACTTTTTGTTTCATTCTTTGTATTTCCCTTTTTGTTTCTATTTTATTGATTTCAGCCCTCAGTTTGATTATTTCCTGTCATCTACTTCTCCTGGGTGAGTTTCCTTCTTTTTGTTCTAGAGCTTTCAGTTGTACTGTTAAGTCAATAGTGCGAAATTTTCCCATATTCTTTGTGTAGCACTTAGTACTATGAACGTTCCTCTTCATACTGCTTTCATAGTGTCCCATAAGTTTGGGTATGTTGTGTTTTCATTTTCGTTGAATTCTAGGAAGTCTTTATTTATTTCTTCCTTGACCCAGTGATGATTCAGTTGATCATTGTTTAATTTCCATGCGTTTGTAGGCTTTCTGCAATTAGTGTTTTTTGTTGAATTCTAACTTTAAGCCTTGTTGGAGGAAGTATGTCACTATGACGGTAGGCTTTGAAGTCTCTTTTGCTCAAGCTTCCCTCAGTGTGACTATCAGTTGACTTCCTGTTGCCTGCAAGGTGTAAGCACTCTCAGCTCCAGCACCACATCTGCCTGCATGTCACCATGCTTCCCATCATAATGACAATGGATTGAACCTCTGAAACTGTAAGTGAGCCATCCCAATTAAATGTTTTCTTTATGAGGGTTTCAATGGTCGTGGTGTCTTTTTACTGAAATAAACTAACAAGACAGTGTGGAGCCAGCCCAACAGAAAAAAGTGTGTTGCAGTCAACAAAGCTGAAAGAAGTTGGCGATCTGAAAAACATTTTGACATGGAGATGCAGAATTTGGAATTTGCTCAGTTGGTTTTCTGTCTTGCTTTGGCCCAGTATTTCCTCACTATGCTCTCTCTCCTCTCTTTTGGAATGGTAATGTTATGCCAAATTTGTGAGACCACAAAAAGACCACCAAGGAGCCGACTCATTGATGCAAACACACAAGGTTTAATTTACAAGCCTCAGCAGGGATCCTGTCCAGCAAACTGGCACAGCAGCTGCAGGAAAAGGTGCCTGGCCTCAATTGCAAAGGGTTTATAAAGGAAAAAACCCAGAAGCTGGGTGGTATGTGCCTTGGCTATTCAGGATTGGATAAGAGTAGGTGACCTTTGGATTCATTAACATGGGGGCTAGGGGAATTTCAAAACTGTTACTAACAGTTGCCCACAAGGACAGTTGTAGTGAGAAGATGTTATTTACCAAAATTAGTCATTGCCTGATCACCCAATGGGGTCATTTTGACTAGGATGGGCACAGTTTGGGTGCTCCTTGGAACTGTTTATGGTTTCTTGGCCTTTTGCCAAGCAGGGAATTTCTCAAGGTGGCTTTTTCTGAGGATGGAATTAACTCCATCCTCTCCAGTTTACCTTGTTCTCACATAAATGTATGTATATTCTGTGTCTTTGTATGTTGGGAGTATGTGATCTGCTTTTTTGATTTTGATTCTACAGAGGGTAACAGTTAAGAGATTGCCATGAATCTCAGAAGAGACTTTGAACTTCTGACTTGTAAACAGTGATGAGACTGTGAATAACTATGAGTAACTTTTGAAGTTGGACTAAACAGATTTTACATTATGATATGGTTACGAGCTTATGGGGACCAGGGAGCGGAATGTGGTAGTTTGAAGAAGAGTAGCCCCACATATTCATATATTTGAATGCTTAGTCACCAGGGAGTGGCACTATTTAAAGAATTAGAAGGATTAGGTGTGGCCTTATTGGAAGAAGTGTGTCATTGGTAGTGGGCTTTGAGGCTTCAAGAGAGTATGTCAAGCCCACAGTCTCAGTCTCTCTCTCAGCCTAAAAATCAAAATGTAGCTCATAACTACTGCTCCAGCACCATGCCTGCCTGCCTGCCACCATGCTCTCTGTCATGATGATAATGAACTAAACTCTGAAAGTATAAGCAAGCCCTCAATTAAATGCTTTCTTTTATAAGAGTTGCCTTGACCATGGTGTCTCTTCACAGCAGTAGAATAGTAACTAAGACAACAACCTATTCTTATAAATTCTTCTACATTGTTTACTAATAGAAAAAGACCCAAATGTGCTCTAAGTTATGTTATTTAGTGTAAGTTATGGAGAATGAAAGTATCCAGAGGCAGCAGAACTGAGGGAAAACTCAAGTGTAACTTTTCATTGTTTATAGTTCACTGGAAAAATGACTAATTTTGGAAGTCATAGAGCTGAGTAATATTTTATTAGTTTCCCAGCAGCCCTCTGTAGATAACACCTCTGACCTGTTGGGTTATGATAATGGCTGCTGAGGTTACTTCTCAGGGACCTGAAGGCAGCTTTAATGCAAGCATTGACTCTCGTGTCTTCAGATGTCAGATGGGAGATTTGGACATGATGATAAGGTTTGGCAACTCTATGGTCATAGTATATCCTGTCTTGTTTGCTACCTTAACCTTCAGGTCAGATGTCTGCTCAGTTTTGCACTGTAGAGATGGACGGCTTGGAATTATAATACAAAGATGATCCTGTGTAAATGTATCTAATCTTTCTTTTTCTCTTTAAGGCAACTAAACTAAAACAACCACTAAGATGTATCTAGAACTCTCTAATTCTCTCTCTCTTTTTTTTCATGCCCAGCATGCCTCTGGATCCTCTACCTTCATAAAAAGCCTTTCCTCACACTCTGGTCTCCTAAAAATACCTTTGCTGTTGAGAGACTCGCATCTTCTTTGGTTTGCTAGATTTCCAAATTACCCTTTTCCTTACAACCATAACTTGTTCTCAGGTCACATTTCTAGTGGCAAGTAAATAAACGTGAGTTCAATATATAATCACCATTTTTTTTTTGAGATATGCTCTCATGTAGCCCAGGATAACCTCAAACTTACTATGTAGCTGAAGATGATTAAGCATTTTTTGTTTGTTTTTGTGATTTTCAAGATGAAGTTTCTCTGTGTAGTTTTGGAGCCTATTCTTGGAACTGTGTAGATCAGTTTGGTCTCAAACTCACAGAGATCTGCCTCCTGAGTGCTGGGACCAAAGGCGTGAACTACAACCACCCAAGGATGACTGAAATTTTAATCTTTCTGCCTCTACCTACTTCACACTAAGTGCATTTTTGGGTATCAAACATAGGGCTTTGTAAAAGCTCTCTTCCAACTGAACAACACCACCAGTCCCTAGATCACAGCAATTTGACGATCTCTGGGACCTAACGTAGAATGTCAGACCATGGGCATCCAAGTTTTGTACTTAGTTCGGTGGGCAAAGGAAAGGCCCGGGCAGCATTTACTAGTACTACTATTATGCAACAAACACCCCCAAACTTAGTGGTTTAATACAGGAATACATGTTTTTGTAAATTGGCAGTGAGGTAGGCTCAGCTGGGTAGTTCTTTGGTCTTAACTGTGCTTACACATGCAGCTGGGTCAATTGCCAGACTGACTGGCTTAGCACAAACTCAGATGGGAACATTTGCATCTACTCTCTGTAGTTCCTCAACTTCCAGCATGCATACCACCCTTGCTCATGGATGGGTACTCTTTCAAGAGAGAGAGTGAACATTTTAAAGCCTCTTGAAGTCCAGACTTGGAAGTGGCCCCCAGTTACTTCTTCTAATTCTGTTATATAATCAAGTAATTAGCCAGCTCATATTCAAATGCCTTTCTTGATAGGAGCCATCAAATCATGAAAAGAGGTATGGACACAGAACCATTTGCCAACTTTTGCAAATAATCAGACTTGAGTATTGGAAATAAATTTTTGGAACCATTGGGAGGCCTTTTGTTATGAGCAGTTTTCCCACCAGCCTGGTCCCAGAGCCATGCCAGCTCCAAATATAAAGCTGCTGGCCAGTTACTAGCATTTCTTATTGGCTAGCTCTGTCTTAAATATTAACCCATTTCTATTAATCTAAGTATTTCCATGTGGTCTTATCTTACAGGAGAGAGGGCCTGGACCTCTGCTCTCTCAAGTCTCTACATCTTGAATCTCCTCCTACCTCTCCCTGAATCCTCCTTGTCTCCTAGTCTTGCCTCTCTTGCCTTCCTGTTTGCCAATAGTGCTTTATTCATTAACCAATAAGAGAAACATATATACAGAATGGCATCTCCCATCAGCCTTTATGGCTGGAATTTTGTTTGTTTGTTTGTTTTTTGAATAAGCCTCTCTATGTAGTTCTAGAACTTGCTATGTAGACCCCTCAAACAGAAATCCACCTGCCTCTGCTTCCCAAGTGCTGGGATTAAAGGCATGCACCACTACTTTGGGCAGGAATTGTTTTCTTTCTAAACTTTTTAGTAATCATTTATTTATTTTTATTTTATGTGCATTGGTGTTTTGCTTGAATATATATATATATATATATATATATATATATATATATGGTATCAGATTCTCTGGAACAGGAGCTACAGACAGTTATGAGCTGCCATGTGGGTGCTGGAAGAGCAGCCAGTGCTCCTAACCATTGAGCAGTCTCTCCAGCCCCATGGAATTGTTTTCTATTTGTAACAAATAAGAACTTTGCCAGGTGTGGTAGACCATGTCCATATTCCAAGCATTCAGGAGGTAAAACTGGAAGATTTCTTTGAGTTCGTGCCTAGTCTGTTCTGTATATCAAGTTCCAAGCTAGCTGGGGGCTACATGGTGAAACCCCATTTAAAAAAAAAAAAGAATTTTGTACCTAGCAACACTTGATACTAACATATATGAAAGACAAATGTCCAGTTTGTTCCTCTTCCAGCTTCTTGTCCAGGGAATCTTCAGGTTAGGTTTGAATACACAACTCTGTTAATTGTAGACAGTCTCTCTAAGATTCCTATGAAAGAATGAACAGAAAGCGAGACAAGAGCAGGTTACTGACAGCCAAACCAGAAACACAAATACATGTCTACAGTACACAATACATGGAAACAGAAACTGTGTTTGTTGGGTCTGGCTGGTACCATTTGCACACATGCCTCTAAAATGTCATCTATGAAAACCCAAATTCCAAATGAGACATGGTAGTGCACTCCTATAATCCTAGCACACTTGTAACTCCAAATCTGAGGGGGGATCACAGACAAAAAGGATTGGCTGGGGCTTGATTGCTTCCAGGCTAGCTGAGAAATTCAAACCCCTAGGTTCAAGAATAGGCCCTGCCTCAAAAAGAAAAAAATAGATGACCTGGACCAGCAGGTCATTCTTCAATGACAGGGTCCTGAGAGAGAGGACCAGGAGATCAGATGATAAAGAGAATAGACGATAGAGACAATACGAAAGTTTGGGAATGGGAGGTCTTGCTTAAGCTATGTCTTATACTAAGTAAGTAAGCTTACTAAGTACTTCAGCATCTTATATGTTATTTCCAGGGGAGACATAGGACAGAGTCAGCAGAAACTATCATACAATGGACAAAGTCAACAAGATGCCAACCAAACAACATTACACAAGGGATATCACAAGACCATTATAGACCAAGCACATAGCAGCTTGGGACTGATAATCAATGCCCCATACAGCAAGAAGAGTTGGGTTCTTAGAATCTGAAACCTCAGTCTCCCAAAGCCCAGGTCACAGGCCATACCCACTCTATCAAGCACATTCCTGGTTTTACAGAAGGACTGTCTTTCTTCTCCATACATCAGGCTCTCAGGGAAAGCCTTGCTCCAGTTCAGCCCTCTACAGGTGGTGGATAGAGGACAGCTGATGCCCTCTTTGGGACATATCATACACATACACACAAATAAGTAAACTAGCCACTACATCTTTAATTCTAGCACTTGGGAGACAGAGGCAGGTGGATCTCTGTGAGTTCAAGGCCAAGGCCAGCTTGGTTTACATAGTGAGTTCCAGGATAGCCAGAGAGGCATAATGATATCCTATCTAAAAAAAAAAAAAAAAAAAAAAAAAAAAAATCTAAGTAAAGAAATAATCCCAAGGATGCTGAAAAAAAGGAAGAGTTGAAGGAAGGAAGGGAGGGAGGGAGGGAAGCAGACATGAATGGATAAAGAAAGAATAGGCTGGAGAAAACCTGCTTCCAGTCTCTGAAGCCCTATATCGTTGACATCTGGGCTGCATCTTTCTTAGTTGTGGAGGGATGCCTTAAGCATTGGAAAGCTCCACGTTAAGCTTTAGTGCTTGTGGTGCTGGGGGGCTGTGAACCCAGGGCTCCAATATGCGAGGCAAGCACAGTACCACTAAGCTACACCTCTAGCCCTGTCCTGTGAATCAAATAGCACTCCAGCCTCTTTCCATTGGATGCCAAGAATGCATACCCTGCCTCCCAACCAACCAAAAATGTTTTCAGACATTATTAAATGTCACCCAAAGGGCAGAATTATCTGTGGGTGTGAACTATTTTATTGGAGCATAAAAAATAAATAAAATAAAAAATAAAGGAAGCTTCACATTTGTGAAATAAATATGTGGTTTGCATTCTTTATGCCAGAAAGAATCCTACCATCCACAGAGGGCCGTTGGGAGGGCTCATAGGCCCGACACTCATCAATGATCTCCCGCAATAGCTTGGAGCAATCTTCACCTACTGGCTCTTGCATCCGGCCCTCGGCTACCAGCTCGTAGATCTTCTTGGAATCACAGCCTGCCATGGAAAGGATAGGATGGGAAGCGTAGAAATTCCACTCACATACTTCTCTTTGGATATTGATAGTTAGGATTAGAATGAGGGACTTCAAACATGGAGGAAAAAAATAAAATACAGAAAAGGAAGCAAAAGAGCTTCTAATGAATGACTCCACTAACCAGTTCAGGTAATCCCTGCATCAGAGGAGTGAGTAGCAAGGGCAGCACTAATGAGGGATTTCTGGTCTCTCAGAAGAGGACCCAACTACAACCCCAGCAGAGCCAGCCTTCAAGTTCTTTACCTTCAAACGGGATCTTTCCAGTGGCAATTTCCCAGAGCACAATTCCAAAGCTAAAAGAAAACCAAGGGCTTGTCAGGCGGCTGACTCAGTGTGCAAAGGAACTTGCTGAACCGTGCTTGTTGAATTTGATCTCCAGAAACCACAGAGGTGGAAGGAGAAAAACCACCCAAAAGGTAGTTCTCTGGACTTCATATATGTGCCATGACATGTGCAAGCCACCCTTCCACACACACCACAGACACACACACACAGACAGATTAAAAAATAAAAAAAAAAAAAAAAAAAAAAAAAAAAAAGGAAAGAATGGGCCCACAGATGGCAGTGGCTAAGAGCACTTGCTGACCTGGGTTCTGTTCCTAGCACCCATATGGCAATTCAGGCTATCTGTAATTCCAGTTCCAGGGGATCAGATGCCGGTTTTGTTTTGTTTTGTTTTGTTTTGTTTTGTTTTTTTTTGCCTCTGTGGGTGCTGCATATGCATATGGTATATATATATACAGGTGTAACACTCATACACATAAAATAATAAATAAATAAATCTTTTTAAAAAAAAATGTAAAGATAAAACCAAGACACTAAGCCTGTAACACATTTCTTTTTCCATGCCCCTTCAGTCATTTCAGAAAACTCCAACCGACTGCAGGCAATACCCCAGCACACCCTGTGCTAGATCAAAGCTAGAACCTTCACTCCAATAGAATTAAGATGGTCCTCAGAGGAGGAGTTCACCCGGGACTGTCCTGTCCTTTCTGCCTGAGGTAGAATCTGTACAAGAACATGCACATACCTATATATTTCATCTTCTCTTTTAAGTTCATGATACACATTTTTCAGTCTCTGAGGGGAGAAATACGCTGTTGAACGGATTCTCTTTGATTTAGTGGTTTTTGCCTCCTGACTGATGGAAGCCTGTGTCTCACTTAATTCAAATCCTGCAAGCTAGACAGAAACATGAGTTAGAGGTAGATGCTGAAACAGCAAGATCCGGGATGGAGGGGTAGAAGATAGAGTTGGGGTGGCCTTTCCCTTGGGATGTATTTCCAGTGGTGCCTTCAGACTACGCTTGACATTGCAGGTTCAATTTGTCATATTGTGCCAATCAAGAGAAACAAGATGACAGCTCTTCTCAATAGAATGGGGATGGTGGTAGGGAAGACTATCTGAAACAATGGCTATGAGGCCTCTGTATGGTTTGGTAAGTTTACTGGCTAAATTTACTTATCACTACTGCTACCAATACTGATATAGGGCTTTCATGGCGAAAGACTCAGCTCCAATCTGTGGGGCTGGGGACGGGACACAGGGCTACAACATGGTTTGATTTTCCCCAGGAGCAGATGCAAAAGTGACATGAGGAAACTCCTATGTTCCGTCTATCCGTGCATCGTAGTCACCTTGTTCCTTGGATTTTTTTGGGCAATGGGGATTGTTTTTCTTTTCTTTCTTTCTTACTTTTTTTTTTTTTTTTTTTTTTTTTGACAGGGATTCTCTGTGTAGCCTTTATTTTTTATTTGTTTTTTGAGACAGGGTTTCTCTGTGTGTAGCTTGGGAGGCTGTCCTGGAACTCAAATCCATCTGCCTCTGCCTCTGAGTGCTGGGATCAAAGGCATGCATCGCCGCTGCCACCATCACCTAGCTGCTTCTTCTTTCCTGCCTTTCTCACACCTCTGTATTCGCCCTGATGGCTTTGGAGGCTTCGGTGTGTCATATGGTATACCCCTTTGTCCCATCAGCTGTACTGGCAAATGTTCATCACAATGCGTCACCAGTCTGGTTCACGGCCTCTAGTTTCTGATACTTCCTCTTTACTGGATCATCATCAAAACTCCTCTAGGATATCCTATAGCCACTTCAAGTCTTGGAGAATCACAGGACCAGGCCCTCCATGAGCTTCAGTAGGTTCTAGATGGGATAGATGCTAGGATGGGTCAGCCCAGGCTGTGGGCCTGAGTGGTAGCCAAGCTGGTCAATCTGGGCCACTGGAGCTATCTGCCTGGGGGTGGGGGTGGAGTCAGCTCCTTACATGCATGCCCTCACAGTCGGTTCACCCTCATCTGTGGTGAGGTGTGGGGCTATCTTTCCTGAGGCAGGGTCCAGCTCTCTAGCTGTAGTGTCCAGCAAGAGGCAAGGTCAGCTTTCCCAGGGCTGGCTCAGCATGGCCCTCTGATTTCATCTCACATGGTTCCTAAGGCCTCCTGAGGTGACACAGGCCACAGACCCCAGCTGCAGCTGGGCCACAGACCTAGACATAGCTTTCAGCAGCAGCTTGGGCCTGGACATCCTGGCTCTGGGCAGAAGGATGGCCACTCAGGTGACAATGGCTCTGGCAGCCTTGTGGCTGCTAGACACCACCAAAGTCTCAGATTGAGGCTCCAACCTGGGTTTCTTTGTAATCTTTGGTGGCATTATAGGACCCAGGCATCAGCAGAGACCCCAGCTGCAGAAGAACCATGAACCCCAACATGGTCCTTGGCATCAGGAGGCTGCCTAGCTCATTAGAATCAGCATGGCATTGGACAGCATCAGGAGCCATGGGCATCAGCACAGACCCTAACTACTGTAGGACCAGGGACCCAGACATGGCCCTTGGCAGCAGCCAGCCAGGACATCACCATAGCCCTGGGTGGCAAGCAGACCTACAACATCTTCCTTTCTTCCTTTTTGCATTTTCCTACAGTGCATGAACTGTTCTGCTTCTTTATCTCTCCCATTTCCCCATCATTTATTTCCTTATCATAGAAAGGTCCACATGCCCGGCACCACGAGGTGCCAGGTGGGCCCATGGCTGTCTTCCCACCAGTCGGGGCCTGTTCTTGGATTTTACATGATGTGGGTTATCTTTGTCATCAATATGCAGAAGGAGAATAGACTAACAAAGTCACCCAAGTACCCAATCTAAGGGTGAGGTCATGAAGAAGTTGAGACATATAGATGACACAAGCTGTGATTCCTCACACCTTTAATTCTAGTACTCAGGAGGCAGTGGCAGGTGGACCTCTGTGAGTTCAAGACCAGCCTGGTTTACATAGTAGGCTCCAGGATAGCTGGGGCTACATAGTGAGACTCTGTCTTAAAAAACAAAACAGCAGACACTTAGTTGAGGAAGGCATCTGAAAGGCAGAAAGGCTCTGTCTACGTGGGGCTGGCAGAAAGAACAGTTTCTGTGCATCTGTCTGCTGGAAGAGTGTTGGTTGCTGTTGAAAGGGTGTGATGATTTGAAAAGAAAATGGCCCCCAAAGGGAGTGGCACTATTAGAAGGTGTGGTCTTGTTGGAGAAAGCATGTCACTGTGGAGACAGGCTTTGAGGTCTCATAGATGCTCAAACCACACCCAATGCCTCAGTTCATTTCCTGTTGCTGGCAAGATGTAGAACTCTCAGTTACCTCTCCAGCATCATGTCTTCCTGCATGCCACCATGTCCCATGATGAATATGGACTAAACCTCAGAACTGCAAACCACCTAATTAAATGTTTCCCTTTATAGCATTACTGTGGTGATGGTATCTCTTCACAGCAATAGAAACCATGGGCAAACTCAGAAAACTCGTCAAAGTGGTACTCATTCTGGCTGGCACACCGGCCCTCTGTTCCCCCCCACCACATAGCCATGTTCTGGTGGGTGAAATTGACAGCCAGCTCTGGCAAAGTGACAGTAGCTATGGGTAAGAAGAAAGCCACCAAGAGGTCAGATTAAGTCTTTTGTGAAAGTTTATGATGGCAATCACCTTGTGCCCACAAAGGTACTCTGTAGATATCATTTGGACAAAAGGGTCAGCAACGGGGATGCTTTCTGGGACCCAGATCTAAAACTCAAGTCCAGATGGGAGTCAAGTCTGAGGAATGATATAAGATGGGCAAGATCATATGGTTCTTCCAGAAGCTTCAGTTTTAGTTGTATTTTTGTTTCCATCATTAAAAATTACTTATTATTATTATTTTGGTTTTGGTTTTCCAAAACAGGGTTTCTCTGTAGCTTTGGAGGCTGTCCTAGAACCAGCTCAGTAGAGCAGGGTAGCCTTGAACTCACAGAGATCACCTGCTTCTGCCTCCTGAGTGCTGGGATTAAGGGCGTGCACCACCACCACCCAGCTTTAAATTTTTTTTAAACTTTTATTTATTTTTATGTGTATAGATTTAAAAAAAAAAAAACTATTTATTTATTTATTATGTATACAGTGTTCTGTCTGCATGTCTCCCTGCAGGCCAGAAGAGGGCACCAGGTCTCATTAAAGATGGTTGTGAGCCATCATGTGGTTACTGGGAATTAAACTCAGGTCTTCTGGAAGATCAGCTAGTGTTCTTAATCATTGAACCATCTCTCCAGCTCCTAAAAAATTTTTTTAAAGAGAAAAGTATCTATGGATGACAAATAAAACATTCTTTTATGATTTTATGGTTTCTGACAATGAGTTAACAACCCCTTTCTTCCTCTGAGCAAATAAAACAAGTTATGGTGGATTTTCAGCTAACCTTCAGCTCTGTTACAGGTAGACCATCAACCTAGGCTTCTTAGTAACTTAATTATAAAAATGATTGCTGGTATACAAATTGCTTTGGGGTAGGGCTAGAGGACCATAAGTACCTAATAGGCATGCTATACTTTATAGCAACCATTATACATGGGAACCAGCTCATCCCTTGCAGGGTCATTGGAAGATATATCTGTAGAGTTATAAGACATATTGACTCTTGTAAATCTGGATGGCCCCATGCCCACTTAATGGGAACCTCTTTCTTTAGCAACTGGTAGGAACAAAGCCAGTATCTCCTGGATGAATGTGAGGATTCCCACAGGAGAGAAGGGGTTGATGCTGCAAGTATGGGGTGCTCCCTGTGAGATCCTTATAAGTGACCTCAAATGACAAGTGTGGCCCATGACAATCTGAATGGCTAGTTAAACATAAGCAGATCCCCTGGCAGGTATTGCAGCGATGTAGAAGTGGTGTGTAAGCATCTAATAAAAATGGCTCTTAGCTTAGTCCTTCTCTGGGGGTGGGAGGAAGGCAGGCACAACATAGTGGGAGATATGATGGAGTCTGTTCTGGGTGGGTACCCAGAAAGCTGTACTTCAGAAGAGGTTCATTCAATTCTAAGATCTAGGAGAGAAGAAAGAAGGCACAGCCTTTCTGCAATAGCAGCAAACCACTGCAAAGCACGGACCAACCCAAGGAACCTCAGAGTATGTGCTCACCTTTACGTGGTAGCCTCCAGCTACCAGGAAGCTGGAGCTCCTGATGTTTCTGTGCAGTTGAGGCATTTCTGCGTGGTGCAGCCTGATGACAACCAAGGATAAGGTGTATTAATGATCTTGGCATAAACAGTGTTTAATGGGATAATGAGGCTAGCTAGTACTTTGCCTTTCATGTGGGTGGCTGACTGACTACCTGCGGACAAACTAGAAAAATGCACCTGCCTAGAACCAGAGTCAGAGTCAGCAGTGTTACAGTGGAAAGAAGGGAAACTGTTCGGGGCTTCTGGCCAGTTCTCCCATCATCTCTGAGATCATCAGTCATGTGGACAGGCTCCTCAAGATTTTATTTTTTTTCTGAGACAAGATTTCTCTGTGTAGCCCTGGCTGTCTTGGAACTCACTTTGTAGACCAGGCTGGTCTCAAACTCACAGAGATCTGCCTGTCTGCCTCTGCCTTCCAAATGCTGGGATTAAAGGTGTACACCACCACCACCTGGCTAGACTCCTCCAGGTCTTTGTGGAGCCAGTTTAACCCCTCTGGTACCTGTACAAGCCTTTGGCTGCTCCCAGGACTAGGAAGATGCGCTCACTCAATGTGAGGTTCTTTTCTTTATCCAGCAGCTCCCTCAGGGTTCCATGTTCACAGTACTCCATGACAATGGAGAATTGGGGGGGCTTCACTATGGAAAAGAAGCAGATACCATGAAGATCCTGCCCCCATCAGGACTCCCACAGCCACAAATCCCCTCTCAGCTTCTTCCTATGGAGATACATTCATTTTGAAGTGAGCCTCATTTCTCCCCCAGCCTAAGACCAACCCAATTTTAAAATACAAAATCTCAAGCTGAAGGAAACTTTAGTGACACTTATTCTCTTATGTGATGGCTGAGGTGACTTATTCACCTTGAGTGTGTTATTTCTTTCAATTCTGGAATCTGACCTGGGACCTTGACTTCTAGCCTGAATTCTCTTCAACAAGTCCCTTCCATATACACACAGATTAGGTTGGACTCAGGCTGTGAAATAATTTCTAGAACAGGGGATGTTGCTGTCCTCTTTCTAGACAACAACAGCAAAAAATGAACAGCAGGGAAGTCCATACTGTGAGAAAAAATGTAGCCACATTAACACTTGGTTTTAGCTGACAGATAAGAAGCAATTAAAGTCACATCAAAAATATGGGGCTGTATTGACCACAGCACTTGGGAGCCAGGGGCAGACAGATCTCTGTGAGTTCAAGGCCAGCATGGTCAACAGTGCAAGTCCCAGGCTAGCCAGTGCTGTTTAATTAAACCTTGTCTAAAAACAATAAAAACAAAACAAAAAAGAAATGAAAAGAAAAGAAAGAAAGAAAACAAAATATACCCTTGACTCAGGCTAGCATCTCAATAAGCAACCCTTGGATTCTCAATGGATAGGCAGTGGGAGGCACAGCTGCATTAGTTCAAAGATGGAAACTTCTATCTTGAAACACAGAAAATAATGAACATTGGTAATAACCCCACTGTTACCATTGAGGGGTGTTGATGGGGTTTGTTTTCTCAGTTAGAGAACTAAAGGGCAGGAAAAGTCTTGAGTGAAAATCTCAAATAGGGTAGACAGAATCAGTAAGGGAATGCTTTTGTTAGAAGTGAGGAAGCATGTGTGTGTGTGTGTGTGTGTGTGTGTGTGTGCGCACACTCATGCACATCCTCCCCACACACACACACAGAGCAAGCATATAGAAAGACCTTCTCCCAGTTAATCAGAGATTGGATTTGGGAGTCTGAAAATCCAGTCTCTTCTACAGGGCTGGGTTTTTAATGTCTTTGAAGGGCCTCCCTCTCCTAATTTGGGGTTGGTCAATGAACAAAGACAGGAGGACCGACCCACAACTGTTGTGTAAACCAGGTTTTGGGGAGGTGTAGAGCGAGCGCGCCTGTGTCCTACTAGTAGGAGAAAAAAAGAAAAAAAAAAAAAAAAAAAAAAAGCCTGCCAAGTCTGTTTTAGGCTTTTGTCTCAGGTCAGGAGAGTGAGGAAGGAGCTCAACATCTTAGAACTTTGTCATCTTTTAGTTAGCCACGGCCCCTCTTCCTGTCTGTCTGCCTATCAGGGAGTCTAACTCTTAGGCCCTCACCACTATACCCTATGAACTGACTTTAAGAATGTAACACAGGGCCACCACGAGGCTCTGCAGGGCCTGCCTGCCTTTCTAAGGCCTGACTCATTGTCACTTTTTTCTTCTCTTTTGTCTTTCTTCAGGATGCTGACCAGAGCTGAAGTACATACACTTCCTCTGGTACTTGAGCTTTCCTACTGTCTCTAAAGTTCTCCTCCCTCTGTGGCTGTTTGTTTTCCACCATGTGGCTGACCTCCATGCCTAACTTGAACAGCACAACTCTCTAACCTCTTTTTTTGTTTTTTTTTTTTTTCGAGACAGGGTTTCTCTGTGGCTTTGGAGGCTGTCCTGGAACTAGCTCGGTAGACCAGCCTGGACTTGAACTCACAGAGATCCGCCTGCCTCTGCCTCCTGAGTGCTGGGACTAAAGGAACGCACCACCACCACCTGGCTTCTTTCTAACCTCTTAAGCACTCACCTATGAATCTATAATTAACTTCTCTTCAAAGGTCAAAAAAAAAGTAACACATTAAAATACAGACAGCATCTTCTAGGCAGCCAAAAGCTTGACTAATCCCAGAAGCCTCCTTACCTGCTTCATCAATGCAAATCCCAAATATACGCAAGACATTGGGGGAATCAAATTTCGTCATGGTTTGGATCTCGTTATTGAAAGTGTGCCTCACTATTCTAGGAGAGTAAAAGGAGAAATTAGCATTTGGACTCTGAAGGTCCCTCAAAGAATATATAATATAGTAGGGGCTTGAGACACCATCGGAGTCGCAGAGTCATCGATGGGCTTGGCTACAAACCTAATTTCTCAGATGCAGCATCTGTGACAAGAATAATAGGATTTGTTCATTTCTTTCTGGTATTTGATAGAATTGTATTTTTGTGACTTATATGGCAAACTAAAATGGCAAGTTTTTATTACTAGTCATATTTTACTTTAGTGAATATCCTAAAAAAAAAAACTGTGGTAGGTGCCACTTAACCTTGTAGAGCCTGAATTTCCCCCATTTAATAATGGAGAAAATGTACCTTTCTCCTTGAGAAACTGCAGAGAATAAGGTTTGATTCATATAAGAATCACACACTGTAGCTTACCCACTGCTGTTTTGGGGTTTGTTGAATACTTTGATGCAAACTGGAGATCTGTGGTACTCTCCTCTATAAAGTGTGCTGAGGTTATTTTTCTTCAGTAAGGTCCATGGAGATCTGAGAAGATGCTCCTTCTTAATCTCCTTGATTTGCTCCTGTGGGATCTCCTGTGTGGGTGTTAGTGAGCCTGAGACAGAAGGAGATAAAAAGTCAGTGTGTTAAGAAGGTGTTGTAAGGGAGGTGGCCTCTTCGTGATGTGAGGGGAGGCTTCACCATGAACCAAAACTGGTCCTGGCTGCAGCTTTCGGCGGATTCAACACAGGGTAGAGGGTTCTACCATTGAACCATGTCCCTAGTCTCCTTTTCCAATCTTGCCTGTCTTTCCAGTTTGAATGCCAGCCTCTCTCATCTCAGAGTTCTCCTTACTTCTGTTACCACACAGCTTGGCACTACGTGCCTAGCATCATGTTGAGTGATTTCAGCTCAAATAGAGACACAGCTCAAGTTCAGCAACAATAATGCTGTCAGTTGTGTGGCTGTTTCCTCCTGGATTGCTGCATTTTCTTTCTCATGAAGCTCATAGGAAACTTACAAAGCTGAGGAAGCTCAAGAATCATACGGGACTCACAGAAGTCTGCATGTAACCGTTGCTGGTTGAGAGGAGACTCTTGAGTAGGAGACCAGTGATCCAGCTTTCCTAAGTTCTTTCTCAAGCTATTGTGGGAGGCTTTTGGGTCATTCAAGTGCTCAAGACCACTATAGTCCCACAAGTAACTTCTCATTCATGCTTCTGAAAGTAATGGTGATACTTTGGCTCACCAAGGTGGACTTGAACAAAATCATTCTTTGGTCTGAGTGCCAGCTAATTTTATGCCAACTTGACACAAGCTACAGTCATTTTGGAAAAAGGAGCCTCAGTTGAGAAGATGCCTGCACCAGATTTGCTCATGGTACATTTTCTTGATTAATGATTGGTGTGGGAGGTCCAGCTCATTGTGGGCAGTGCCACTCCTGACTGGTGGTCCTGGGTGTTATCAGGAAGCAGGCTGAGCAAGCCAGTAAGCAGCCACCCTCCATTACTTCTGCCTGCTTCAGTTTCACCTCTAGGTTCCGTTTTGAATTCCTGTCTTGACTTTTTCCTTAGTGAAGGAGTGTGTGACCTGAGAGTAGTAATTTGGAATAACCCTGCCCCCGACTTGCTTTTGGTCCTGATGTCTTGTCACAGCAAGAGAAATTAAGACAGTCTGTTTTTTCCCTCTCCATCTAAGGTAATAGAAATCCTTCCCACAAAGGCAGGGGAGCTAATTCAGACGGTAAAGTGTTGCCACATAAGTGTGAGAAACTGAGTCAGATCTCTAGAATCCATTTAAAAGATGGGCATGGTGGTATATGCACTTGCAACCCCAATACTAGGGAGGTGGAGATAAGTGAATCCCTGGGGTTTGGTGGCCAGAAAGTTTAGGCTAATTGATGAGCCCCAGATCTCTGTGAGAGAAACTCTGTCTCAAAAACAAATTAGATGGCTCTGGAGGAATAATACTTGACCTCTGGATTCCATGAGCATCTGTACACATGGACACACACACACACACACACACACACACACACCTTCACACACAGAACATACAATCCCACAAGATATGCCATATAACATGTTTGTACTGTCCCTCTGTAATCTCTCCTTTACCTCTAAGGTATGAGCTTCTGAGTATGTTACTGTAACAGAAACTTGATGGGTATAGATGTTATTCGTGGAGGAAATAATTTATTATTAGACTTACTTTAGTATCCTTTTATAAAATTATTTTTACTTTGTGTTTTGAAACAGGGTTTCCCTGTGTAGCCTTGGCTGTTCTGGAACTCACTCTGTAGAGCAGACTCACCTTGAAGTCAGAGATGCCTCTAACTCGGGAGTGCTGGGATTAAAGGCATGGGACGCCAGGCCTGGCCTGTTTTAGTATTCTGACAAATGCTATGGTTTCATGCTCATCAAGAAGCCACTTTCAAATGCTCTTTCACAGACAGAAGCCTGGATTAACTGTGGCCACATCCCCAAACCTGTGAGCTGCTTCCAGTACTATCTAGCAGAGAAAGTGGAGCAGGCCAGGCGTGGAGAGGCTGGAGTTCTTAACAAACAGACAGCTTCTAATTCGGGAGCATTCATTGCAACAGGGAATAGGGCAACTTACGTTGCTTCAGAGTTTCCTTCATTTCTTCCACGTCAGTACATAGCTTCATCAAGATTGCTAGAATAGGCTCATTTCTGCAGGAAAAAAGGGCAACACGTGCTTAAAAATACAAGTGCTAAACACAAATTTTATTTGCATCAAAACCAAAATGCTAATTAAGACCACCAAGGTGACAGATTTTGTAAACTCTAAATAGTCATTGATAGGAAATAGTACTGTTCATATTTATCTTTCTATTTTCAAACACATAGGAAATGCCCTCAAGTTTAGCTGTGTGGACCTACTTGGTCAGGGAAGTAAGTGAAAGAGATGTGGTTTCAATCTGGACTGTCCCCATAGGCTCATGATTTGAGCATTTAGTCCCTAGCGAGTGGCACTGTTTTGAAGGCAGTGGAGCCCTCAGAAGGTTGAATGTGGTTGGCAGCAGTGGGTCACTGGGCCTGGCCTGATTTTTCTACCTCAAGTCTGCCATGATATGAGGAGCCTTGGCTACATATTTCCACTGCCAGAGAACTACTTCATGCCTTTCCTGCTATGATGCTAGAAAACACTTTGAACTTATGAACCCAGGTAAGTCTTTCCTCTCTCAAGCTGCTTCTGTCAGGAAATTTTTCAGTGAAGTATTTTATTGATTCTGTTCAAGGTCCCAGCCTGGCCACTTTGGGAGTGGGAAACTTGCAACAACAAGGAAGTGCTGGACTGCTCAAAGTATCCCACGGAGGAGCCATCTTGGAGGGCCCCATGTACTTTGCTTCGGTGAGAAATAAACTTATTTCTATAAAACACTGGACTGCTAGTGCTTGAAGATTCATTATTATTTTTATTTATGCGTAAGTGCACATGTGCCCATGTGAATGCATGCCGTGCATGTCTGAGTAGGTCAGAAGAGGTTTGTTTGATCTGCTAGAATCAGAGTTACAGGCAGCTGTGAACTGCCTAACATCAGTTCTGAGAACCAAACTTGGGTCCTCTGGAAGACCAGGAAGTGCTGAGCCATCTCTCTTATCCAGGTCAGTGCCTTTTCATTTACATCACAATTAATTTATATTCTGCATAAATTCTCACCATCTCAGTTTGCCTAGGGCTGAGGAGCTCTGAGGATTTGAGATGCTCAGTTCCTAATGGAAAAAACAAAACAAAACCAACCAACCAACCAACCAAACAAACAACAAAACCAACAAAACAAACAAACAAAAATACCCAAAACAAACAAACAAGCAAACAAAACCTAGAAGACAATGTTTTGTTGTTATAGCCTCTGTAGAGGGCAATCTAGCAATCTCTATCAAAATGGAAAACGTTCATTGCCTTTAACCCATTGATTAGCCAGGCAATTCCACTACTGGGACTATCACACAAAGATGCTCATTATGAAATTTTAACAGTAAACTATTGGATTCAATTTACATGTTCAATATATTTGGTCCATACATACCAAGAAATACTAGAGAAGTCTATGGAAATTTATTTGGAAGAATATTCAAGATTATCCACTGAGAAGAAGAAGAATCAGAAAATGTACATGTAAATCTCCAGAGGGCCAAGAAAAGATGGTACAAAGTGAGAGTATGTCTGAGATGTAAAAGAGGTCTCTTGAGATCAAGGATAATGGGGAGATTATGTTGAACCTCCCTACCCCTTCCCCATTCTGGAAAGGGTCTCACTATGTAGCTCTGTCTGTCCTGAGACTAATTATGTAAACCAGAATGGTCTTGAACTCACAGAGATTCCCCCTGCCTCTGCCTCTCAAGTACTGAGATTAAAGGCATACACTTCTATACCCAGCTATGCTGGACCTTTTAAAAATCTTTTGAATGTGGTAGCATGTGACTGTATCGCCCATACAGAAACCTAAAAGGCAGGGCAGGAAGTCAGTCCTGTCTTCCAGGTAATGACTTCCACATGGTTCCTGCCACCATGAAGAGGTGGGCCAATATTTTCTGATGATTAGAAAAGTTGGAAGCCAATCCTGCCCTCCAGCCAAGTCAACCTCTCTGTTCTACCATAACACCCATCCTCCCTGATCCCTGATTCTCTTTCTGTTTGATGGTGGGTGATAATTGGATTACAGCTATCTTAGTTTCTCTTATTACAAAAAAGAACTCATTTGCTTAAAACCCTCATTTGCTTAGATGTCTCCTGCTGACTTGACCGGGCATGGATCACCACCCCCCCCATATCAAAGCAATAGGCCAGTTACTTCTCTGAGCTCAAGCATCTAAAAAGTGTGTCCATGTGTTCTTTTGTCCTAGTTTGCTCACTGTTTTTGTGACAAACACCATGACCAGAGGTGACTTGAGGAGGAAAGAGTTTCTCTATTTATTAGTTACCTACTACAGTCTCTCAAAGGGAAGCCAGGGCAAGGGGCTCAAGGCAGGAGCCTGGAGGCAGGAACTGCAGCAAAGACTGTGAAGGAACGCAGCTTACCGACTGGCGTGCCTTCCATGACTCGCTCCACTTGCTTTCTTGTACAGCCCAGGACCACCAACCCAGGGGTGGCATTGCCCACAATGGATAGGGTCCTCAGTCATTAATGAAAACAATTCTTCACAGAATTGCCTACAGGCCAATTGATAGAGCATTTTCTCACTTAAGGGTTCCTCTTCCCAGGTGACTGGAGATTGTGTCAACTTGACACTACCCAGCACACCTCCTTGCTCCCTTTCTCTCTACCTGACTCTTACTATTGGGTTTACAGACCCTTCTGTGCTTTCTCTATCAAAGAATTCAGGCCATTCCCCCAGCATCTCCCTCTCAGACAGTTGATAAGCCCTCTTCCACCCTTGCTGCTCTAGGATACTTTTATAGTCTTCCCTAGTTCATGCCTCCACGCCCCTTGGCACACTGGCTAGGCCAGGCTAAATCACATGATGCTATTGCTTAAAACCCTCCTCACTTTCCTAGGTCTCAGATGATTATCTTTGGCAATCAGCCTGACAAAAAGTTAATCTTGTATCAGTTTCCTTTCCTATAAACTTATCTTTCAGCTAACCACGTTTAGGGTTCATATCACTGGGTCATCATAAATCTAAGAAGGTCATATTTGCTTTCATGTTTCCCTTATCTTCCCTCTCCTGGTGGCTTATGATGGGAGATGCCCTTCTGTATATATGTTTATCTTATTAGTTGATGAATAAAATACTAATTGGCCAGTTGCCAGGCAGGAAGTATAGGCAGGGCTATGGAACCAGGAAAATTCTGGGAAGAGGAATGAGAGGGAAGCCTCAAAAGAGATGCCATTTAGCTGATAAAAGAGTAACATGCTGGAATGTTCTCTGGTAAGATAAGGCCATGTAGAAATACATAGACTAATAGTTATGGGTTAATAATTAAGAGAGAGGTAGTCAATAAGAGGCTTGAGCCATCAGCCAAACAGTTTATGATTAATATAAGACTCTGCGTGTTTATTTGGGGTTAAATATCTATGGAACCAGGTGGGACAGAAACTTTTTCAACAGGCCTAGGCTCAATGCTTACCCTCTACCTCCAGCCTAGCCCAAGGCTCACTTCTTTAGAACCTAGACCTCTGTGATGTTCAAGGAGGGCCATTCTAGTTCAAGCTATTGTTAACTCATCTACCCTCTAATGTAGCCTCCTAACTCGTTCCTGCTTCCTTTCTGATTCTCAGGTAGGTTGAATTATTGGCTCTAGCAACATAGAGGGCAAACTGTGTGCCTCTGTCTCTTCATGGTGAGCTTTGCTAGATGGCTTGTTTTAATGGATGTCTCACAACCAGAGGCTTGAAACACAGTAGTTCAGTTAGGGTCTCCTTCCTGCAATTCTACCACAAGAACAATATCATTTCTGTATGGACAGCTCCTTCTCCTTGGTCAAGGTGTCCATTCATATGTCTGTCTTGTCTTGTCTGTTCTTTCTGAATTGTATCATTACTCTCCCTTGTGGCTTTCATGGGCTTTAGAGAAATTTAGCTTTCTATCAGCAGATTTTACATTCCATGATGTCAGAGATTTTGTCTATTTTGTTCTGTGCTGTATCCCTAAGGTTTAGAACAGTGTTGTACATGCTGTACCCAATACACGTTCTCTTAGTTTGCTTTATTTAATTCTTTTTACTGGACAATCTTCACTTTAAGCGAGAGTCCCATAGAAACTAAGGCTGTAAGATATGAATTTGGATTCCAGATATTACATCAAAGAGTGAATGGAGAAACAAAGGAGACTCACAAGCAGGAAACATCGTGTCCTCTCCTCCATAAGAGCTTCACCAGATTATATCAGCCTCTATCATACAGCAGGATTTCTAAGTCACAAGTATGCACAACTGTTCAAATTCCTCCATCATTCCTCTCCTTTGGGAAATCAAAGTGAGGCCAAGATGCTCCTTGGTCCCATCTGTTCCTCCACTTTATCCCCCAAGCCCAGATTATTCCTTCTCAGCCTTTGGAATACTCACCTATCCTCCTTTGCATCCTGCTGATCTTCCTGCAGCCAGGATGCTCTTTGGCTGACATGTGGAGCAGAGTTCCATTGATCAACCTGGAGCACCAGCAAGAGCTCCTCCCAGACATCTCTCAGCCTCTCATTCACTTCAAGGAAGATTATCTTGTCATTGCTCGAAGTCACAAACTTCCAAAAATTGGACTTATCGCTGAATTTTTCTATCTGGTGCCTCGCCTCCTCCAGGACAGCCTCAAATCGGCCCAGAGCAGCAGTTATGTCATCTGGCAGGTTGTTGGCTCCTTGTTCCTGGAGACTCTTGAGAGGCTGTAGCAGACCTTGTACGCGTTCCCCTAGACGATGGCACTGTTTCCGGCAGTATTTCATCTCTTCACACTTTGTATAGATGAGCTGGCCTAAGGCGATGATCTTTCCCAATGTATCCATACCTGGAAGAGACCCATAGATCGGTTGAAATCCCCAGTGTATTTATTACTCAGCTAATTGAGGGTCAAAAGTATCTATGATCTCAGTGCCGAAAGGAGATCCCTCCATCATGTAAGGTAGAGATAGCTTACCTGTTTTTTTCTGTCCCTGTAATGGATTGGGAAGTATTAGTCAGTTTGTACTATATCTTCAGCCACTTACAACTCGGTGAGGCCACGTGATTAGCATCTAACTATGGGTTTTGAGTGGATGGGATCTGTGCTACTTTAGGATGAGACAGGTTTGCAAATAAGGTGTCAGGGATACTGATACTCTAAAGAAAAGATTCTGGGTTCCTGAATAATTTCTTGGAGGAAAGCTGCCATTGTTGCCAGGATTTCTGCTATGAATTGTGATGGAAGATGCAGTCTCAGTCGCATGGAAGCCATTATATTTTGGTCATATTATATAGCCTATCCTTACACAGATGTCCTTTTGAGGTATTAATAATATCTCCGGGAGCCAAGCAGGCAACTAAAACGAGTGGTGCTGAAATCCTAGTACCCAGGAGTCTGAGGCAGAAGGATCATGAGTTCAAGGCCAGTCCCAGCTACCTCCTGTCTCCGAAAATTCCAGTGTTTGGTCAGCATAGGCTGAGGCTCTGAGTGTGAGTGATCCTCAGCACAGCTTGAAGAGAAGCTCCTGGGGCTGGGAGATGGCTCAGTGGCTAAGTACTGCTCTCATAGAGAAGATTCTATGTCCTCTTCTGACCTCTGCAGGCACCAGGCACACACATGATGCACAGGCATGCATGCATGCATACATACATACATATACACAGAATATTCACACATAAGAAATAATATGATAAATCTAAAAAAAAAAAAAAAAAGGCCTGAAAAGCTTCTTCTTAGTTTCTGTGATGTGGCCTTTTAGTTCATCTTTCACTTCTCCATTTTCATTTTGTCTTGAGACAGGCTTTTGCTACGTATCTCAGAATGGCCTTGACCCCACCACGCTTGTGCTTTATTATCCTGGGACCTCACTGTTTTTAACCAATGGGAGAGTACAGTCTTTCACATCCTGTAGGAAAAAGGCACTAACTGGCCCTTGGGCTCACGAGTAAAGAAATCACGCCAGCTCAGTCTGTAAACATGCAGAGGTTACTCAGCAAGTTGACACCTGCTGTTCTGCAAGGATAAAGGATCTCTGGGATTCTCATGAACAGCCAGGCATCTGGACTTTGATGTCAGAGCTCTTGACTGTAAATCTTGCAAGCAAGCCCAAGAGCATTTCCTTTCAGTCCATAAAGTGCTTGCTGAACAAGCTGAAGGCCTGAGTTTGGATCCCCAACGCCAGTGTAAAGTTCTGGGTGTGGTGGTGCACATCACATCTGTAACTCTGGCTCTGGGAGGCCTGCTCCCTCACATTGTCCTCTGACCTTCACATGTGCAGACACACACACATATGCACAAACCCGCAACAAACAAATGTGGAAAATAAAGTGAGAAGTGGTCAGGAAGACATCTGACCTTGACCTCTGGCTTCCACACTTATGTACCCCACACCGCATGCATACACATGCTCACTTCACACACATACACACATTTTCTAAAAGTGTGCAGTCAAACATAACCAAGATCAAATAAAACGTGTCTGCCAAAGGAATGCTGCCACTCCTGATTGCAATGAAAATCAACTCTGGGAGGCTGAGGCAGGAGGATTTCTGTGAGTTTGAGGCCAGCCTGGATTATAGTATGGGATCTTCTGTCAGTCTCATTTTTTCCCTGTCTTTTGCTGCGTTGCATAGACATGCATAACACTCATACACTGAAAATAAAATAAATCTTAAAAAAAACAAAAACAAACAAAAAACCAACTGGGCACCTGGGCCAAGCTGGGTGGAGAGAATGTTTGCTGAGTAAGTGCCTGCCTCCTCAGAGAGAGCCCAGGAAGCCAAAAGTTTTGGCTCAACCTGTCTCCCTCTCTCTTTCTATGCACACAAGTAAAAAGCCACAGAGCCTTATCCTACAGATTGTAAAGAAGCTCACATAAGAATGATAGAAAAACAGAAGATTCTGGGTTGATGACAAATTGAGCCACTAGTTTAAACTGATCCTGAAATCTATGTCACCTCCATCTACAGGTTTCAACCTTCCTTCTTCTACCTTTTCTAATCTTTATTTTTATTTTATGTGTAAGAGTATCTTGCCTGTATGTGTACCATGTGCATGCAGTAACTGTGATGGCCAGAAGAGGGCACCGTCAGGTCTTTGGGATTAGATTTATAGATGGTTGTGAGCTGCCATGTAGATGCTGGGAATTGAACCTGGGTCCTCTGGAAGAGTAGGCAGTGCTCTTAGCTTCTGAGTCATCTCTCCAGCCACTCATCCTCCCTTCTTGTTGAAGCCAGTTTTGAATCATGCTCTACTTGAACCAAAGGCAGCTAGAGTCCAGAATGAATGAGAATTCCCACAGCAACAAATCTTTTCACTTACAACCTGCTAAATGCTTTAGAAACATAGTTCCATCCTCATCTGCAATTGATGAAGACACGGTTCAAATGAGTTCAAAGCCTGGAAACAGATTCCAAAGCATTTTATGTTTTTGTTGTTAAGGCAGGTTTTCTCTATGTATTCCTGGAATTCAGCAAGTAGATCAGGCTAGCCTCCAACTCACAGAGATCCTCATGCCTTTGCTTCCTAAATGCTGCAATTAAAGGCATGCACCACTATGCATGGTTTTAAAGACTTGTTTAAATGTTGTTTTAAAGACTTGTCTATTTTGGGTTGGAGAATGGCTCAGTGGTTAAGAGCACTGGCTGCTTTTCTAGAGGTCCTGAGTTCAATTCCCAGCACTCACATGGCAGCTCACAACTGTCTGTACCTCCAGTTCCAGGTCATCTGATACCCTCACACAAACATACTTGCAAAGAAAATACCAGTGCACATAAAATATAAACAAAAATAAAAATCTTTACAAAGTTCAATTATTTTTATTTTATGTATATGGATGTTTTGCCTGCATGTATGTTTGTGTACCACATTCATGCAGTGCCTTTGGGTATCAGATCCTCTGGAAGTGGAGTTACAGAAGGTTGTTGGCTACCATGTGCATGCTGGGAATCAAACCTAGGTTCTGGGATAGCAGCCAGTGTTCTTAACTACTGAGCCATGTCTCCAGCTCTCAGAAAATACTTGAAATCATAGCAATCTTCTCAATGATCCAGCAAAACAGGTTAAGAATTACCTTGGCAAAATTTAAAACAACAGAAAAGAGTTCTCTTGGGAACTAGATGAGATAGCTCAATAGTTAGGAACACTTGCTGCTCTTGCAGAGGACCCGAGATGCTTCCCAGCATCCATGCTGCTCAGCTCACAACTACTGACAACTCAGGCTCCAGGAGCTCTGAGCCCCAAAGCCACCACACACACACACACACACACACACACACACACACACACACACACACGAAAGTAATAAACCCATTCACAGATCAGATAACCATGCTGAGAAAAAAATTCCCTGGAAGCCCCATCTGCCTTTAAAACAAGAGTTAACAAATGAAACCAAGCTGTCAAACTGAAACTAAGTATGTGGCAATCACGGTTTTGTTTTCCTTGTCCACAGGATTCCACTGAACCAGGCGCTAGGCAAAGACATTAACATCAGAGCACTCTTTGACGTCTGAGCCATCACTCCAGCCTGTTAGGATACTCATAATGAAAATCAATAGATCTAGGGGCCCAGCTATTCCCAGATGCTGAGCATGTCTCACGATTCTTTCGTGGATATATGAGAGTAAAGGTAAAAATCTGGAAGTAGTAGCAACACTATTAATTTTCTCTAAGTCTGCTTTCCTCATTAAAAATATCAGACATATCTGGGTTTGGGATACACAACTTAAATTTAGTACTTAGGAGGCACAGACAGATGTCTTTAGGAATTCAAGGCCAGCCTGGACCATACAGTGAGTTCCAGGCCAGCCATAGCCACACACTGTCTCAATAAATAAGTTAATAGTCTAAAAAAAAAAAAAAAAAATCACACACCCCTTTACAAACATTACACCAGACTACTTCACCCTTGCATGAAATGGGCCCTAGAAAAGGAAGTGGGCATTCATATTTAAGAACTGGAATCCAGTCGAGCTGTGGTGGTAGTGCATGCCTTTATTAGCACTCGAGAGGCTGAGGCAGGCAGATTTCTCTGAGTGTTCGAGGCCACCTGGTCTACAAAGCAAGTTCCAGGATAGCCAGAACTATACAGAGAAAGCCTGTCTCAGAAAAAAACAAAAGAAAAAGAAAAAAGAAAAAGCAAACAAAACCCCGAATCATCTGTCCTGGAAATAGATTGTCTTACTGCCTACCCTCCTACTCTTAAGCCTTCAGCACCTGTGCCGCGTCCCCACCCTTTGCCCCTCCTCAAACCCCATTTCTCCATTTCTGTCCTGCTTTGGCAGGAGGTCCGCAGAGATCTTAGCAGACAGACAGCCCCTCCAATAGAGCCAGAGAATCGAAACCAACTCACCACTGAGTTCCAGGAAGTCCAATCTGTGATTCCTTGGTTCTCCGCTTCCTCTAGCGGCGATTCCCGGCTCACCCTTGTGGTCGCGGCTGGGTGGTGAGGGGTGTGATTGTCTTAAGGTGCAATTGCAGTAGGATCGTGCCTCCCTGCTCCCGGACCGCAATCTTCTGCCCAGCTGAGAATGCACACCCGGCCGGAGCAGGTCCCGGGTCTCCGGAGCCTCTCCCGTGCAGCCTCTGCGCTCCCGGTGTCCACGAGGGACTCCACCCAGGCCGCTGTTCCCGCCTAAAGTCAAAGCCCGGCAGATGCAACCATGCCCCTCCAACAGGAGCCCGGCCAACCTGTTGGACAGCTGTTTTAAGTAGGCGTCCTCCTCCGGAAGTCGGTGCTTGGTTGACACTCCTCCCCCCAGGTTCCTGCGAGACTTCTGCTGGCGATATGCCAGCTTCTGACACCCTCTTTCTGGACAGCTCCCGTTTGAAGCTCCTACTCGGGGCTCTGGTTCTTTCCCCAGATCCATTAAATTGCAACTCAGAAAACTCCCAGGCCCTCTGCTTGGAGCCTCGAATTTAGGGACTGAAAGAATTAAGGTTACAGGGAGCTCTGATAACCATTGTATGGGATGGACTGGAAGTCCAGTAAAATAAAAAATAAAGTGAAACAGTGAGCCTGAGGACCTCAGTCAAGGTGGAAGGAGAGAACTCACTCCTTCAAGTTGTCCTCTGACCTCGGCATGTGCGCAGGCCCTGGCATGCAATTGTGGACACACACACACACACACACACACACACACACACACACGCATGCATTTGCACACGCAACCAAACACAGTAAATAAATAAAAATGGGAATAACCCCTATAAGTATGGAGGAGGTTCTTAAATGTGCTTTGTGCAGGATAACCCTGGGGGAGGGGACGGGGAGTAGAAGCAGGAGGGTAAGAGTGTGGGAGGCGTAGGGGGAGGTCATTTCTCTTTTTCTTCAAGGTCATCTCAAAACTTTGTTGTGGTTGAAGTTGAGTTTTATTAAAGTCAGTTATATCCCCAGATAGTTAGTATAAGAAATGCCATTCGTTCACTTAAAAATGTTTTTAGATTTATTGTGTGTGTTGCCTGCATGTATGTATGTGTACCATGTGAATGTCTACGAAGGTCAGCACAAGGCATCAGATCCCCTGAACTGGAGTTACAGATGGTTATGAGCCGAACCCGGGTCCTCTGGAAGAGCAACAAGTGCTCTTAACTGCGGAGCCATCATCTCTCCAATCCCTACTTATTTATTTTTTTGGTACAGGAACTCTCACTGAGCCTGGAGCTCACTATTTCAATTGGACTGGATGGCCAGTGAGCCCATGGGCCATGCCTACTCCATCCCCAGAGCTGGAGTTATAGATGTACACTTTTTATTCAGGGCTTTGTGGTACAGTGTTTCCAATGCAAGCATGAGGACACCGAAAACTACAAATCATCATTGAAAGAAATTGCAAAGCAAACACCTGGCTTTACTCCCCCACCCATCGACTGGCTCCTTCTCCTGTTTTTGGAGATCAGGGCAAAATAAGCAAAGGAACACACTGATGCTATCACAGCTCAGCCTTCACAGGTGCTGAGTAGGATGGAACACAGCACTCAGATTGGAAGAGCAAGCAGAAGAAGTCAGCACATCTCAAATCCTAGAGTTCCACGTCTCTGAGTGTCAATTTCTTCGACATATCGTTTCTTTCAACCCTTCTGTGTTGGCTAGTTTTATAACAACTTGGCACAAACTAGAGTTATCTGAAGGGAGGGAACCTCAGCTGAGAAAATGCTTTCATAAGATCTGGCTGTAAAGCATTTTCTCAATTAGTGATTGATGGGGAAGGCATTGATGGGGTGGTGCAACCCCTGGGCTGATGGTCCTGGGTCCTATAAAAAAGCAGGCTGAGCAAACCACGAGGAATAATCCAGTAAGCAGCATTTCTCCATGGCCTCTGAATCAGCTCCTGCCTCCAGGATCCAGCCCTGTTTGAGTTCCTGCCCTGACTTCCTTCAGTGATGAACTGTTACCTGGAAGTGTAAGCCAAATAAACCCTTTCCTCTCCAAGTTGCTTTGGTCACGGTATTTCATAACAACAATAGAAACTCCAACTAAGATACCTTCCTTATGGTAGTTGTTCTTGCTGTATTGTATAAAATTTTAATTTCATTAAGTTTTTTGATTTTAAAGATTTTGTTTTGTATTTGTGTATAACATAACCAGAAGTCAAACAGATGGGGTGACTAATGAGTAAACATTCTGGCATCTTGTCTTCAGGTAGATAAGCCTGGCAGGTATTCCCTATGCTTCTTAAAGTTAAGCCTGGCAGGCCTATTACCTGTGAAGAAAACTCCAGCCACTGTGGCAACCCATATATCAGTCAAGAGAACAAGATGGGAAAGTGCTAGAATTTTTTTTTCTTTTTCTTTTCTTTTTTCCAGACAGAGTTTCTCTGTGGCTTTGGAACCTGTCCTGGAACTCTTGTAGACCAGGCTGACCATGAACTCACAGAGTTAGATGTGCTTGCCTCTGCCTCGAGAGTGCTGGGATTAAAGGCATGCACCGCCACTGCCTGGCTGAAAGTGCTATTTTTTTTTTTTTTTTGTAAAAAATGTTTTATCAATTCTGTTTTTGTATAAAACACAAGGGAAGAACCTGGCCAATCAACACATGACCATGACCACAGGGGAAGGAACTTTATTAAAAACTTCATGAGTCTAAAAACATACAAATGTTTCTTTTCTCTTGTCTACAGCAATTGTCTATGTTTTTCCATAATGAACTGTTTTTAAAAATTCCACACCATCCCACTGGCATCCTCTGTCCCAGGTACAGACAGACAGTATGGGTGAGCAGGTTCCTAAGCTGTTTTCTGCAGTCCCTTCTTTCCAATGAGAGATTTGTGGATGTGTGGGATCACACCGCCCCCGGCTATGGTAGCTTTGATAAGTGAATCCAACTCCTCATCACCTCGGATTGCAAGCTGCAAGTGATGTGGAGTGATGCGCTTTACTTTGAGATCCTTGGAAGCATTACCTGCCAACTCCAGCACCTCAGCTGTGAGGTACTCCAGAATTGCCGCACTGTACACAGCAGCAGTGGCACCCACCCGTCCATGGCTTGTGGTGCGAGTCTTCAAGTGTCTGTGGATTAGGCCCACAGGAAACTGTGGCCCAGCTCTCTGTGAGCGGGACACTGCCTTAGCCTTGGCCTTCCCACTGTCTTTCCCAGCTTTGCCTCCAGCCATTGTCTTGGCCGCGCGACGCTCAATCTGAAAGTGCTATTTTTAAAATTAATTACACCTGTGGTTTCCAAACAGGAACTCTTGAGGACTCTCATAATGAGGTATGGCTACACGTTGTCACCAGAGGGCAGCAGAGACCAGGAACCAGAAGAAGAGGCAAAAAGCAAATGTTACTAGGCAGAGATATCTGGTGGAGACAAGGCTGACTTATATTGGGCGTGGCTACAAGTTGGTTAGTGTTCTGGGTACAAGGAGAAAGCTTACAGAGCTCAAAGGCAGAAATCATAGCCAAGAGCTAAAGTAAGAAGGCAACAGAACAGAATTAAAGGGGCAGCTCCTCCAGCCATCCAGGAAACACCCAAAGACAGTAAGTAGGTCTGGGGAGTGCAAACACCACGCACACAGAAACAAGGTAACCTTGGGTTCATCCCTGGCAAAGCTCTAGGTGTCTGATAGACAATTAGGAGAGGGAAATTTCTAGATCATTAATAGTAAACCTGTGGTTTTTGTTGTCCCCCCCCCACTGATCAGAATTTAAATAGTTCTTTTGAGCAAGATTTTTTTTTCTGATGGGGTTGGACAAACTGTTTAAATGCTATTGCTGTTGGCTACCCACCATAACTACATGGTAAGACCCTATTGCTGGAGAAACCACACAGTTTGGCTGCAGAACAGACCAGTCCTAAACTAACAGTAAACTTCCTCCCTGAAGGCTGGTTGCCATAGTGACGGAAGGTTGCTGAGGAGAAAAGATATCAATGGTCTTGTCCAGAGCTGGGCACTATGTGCTGTAACACCGACCTGCCAGGAATGATATGCCTATTGGTGCAGCAGTGGCATAATTGTTACAGAGTAACTAACTGATTTGACTTGAGGCCTGTTTCACCCGAGGGAATTTCATACCTGCTACTATAATCCTGGTCAAAGCTGGGGAGGTCACAGGCCCTAGGGTAGAATCTGCTATTGTTACTTTGATAATAGATTGTGCCATCCAATTGCCTTCTAAATGTTCATGTTTATATTTGTAGACATGGGCTGCTCTCAACCTTGGTCAGAGAAGCTTCTTTGTGCCATGGACAGCAGCCCATTGGAGGAATGTTCCCAACTGGTCACAGTGCTGAGACTAAGAGACAGAGTGCAGTCATGCAGTGGTGGCCTAGGCCTTTAGTCCCAGTACCTGGGAAGCAGAGGCAGGCAGATCTCCAAGTTCAGAGCCAGCCTGGTCTACAGAGAATGTTCCAGGGCAGCCAGGACTACACAGAGGAACCCTATCTCAAAGAGACTGAGTGCTCAGTCCTAAACAAGACATCTCTATTAACTTCCCCATCACTAAGGCTCAGGGGACATCACAGAAGAGGAGGCATAAAGAATATAACAACCAGAGGATGAGGAGGAGTGATATGAAATGTTTGTTGTCTTTTGGACATTATGTGTCTATTGAAATCATGATCTCACAACACAAGATCTACATAAGATCAATCCAGCCAAAATCTCAGCATAGATGAAGTAGAGAATTGCAGCTTCCAGCTTATACTGGAGAACTATGGACAGTGGATAGTTGCTGAGGGAGTGAGTTTTTGTTGTTGTTGTTTTGAGGATGTGACCATCTGGTAGGTTACCCATGACCTTACGGATGGTCCCACACCCATGCATATATGGGCATCACTAACTGGACTTAATTGGTTGTTTTATTTTGCCTTCTGTTGTTGTGAGAACATAGGGTGACCAAAGATAACTAGGGGAGGAAATGGTTTATTTGGATCACACATTTTAAACATAGTCTGTCATGAAGGGAAGCCAGCAGGAACTCAAAGGAGGAATCTGGAGGCAGGAACTGAAGGAGAAGCTATGGAGAAACTTACTAGCCTGCTCAGCTTGCTTTCTTATACAACCCAGCCCCTCCTTCCCAGGGGTAGCACTGCCTCCATCCATCATTTATCAACAAAACACCCCACAGACATGCCTACAGGCCAATCTGATGGAGGCATTATCTCGGTTGATTATTTCCCCTTCCCAGATGATCCTGACCTGTGTCAAGTTGACAAAAAGAAGAAGAAAAAATAACCAGCCCATGGGTTATTAAAAATAAGACATGAGGTTCGGAGGGAGCATATGGGGGGGGGATATGGGGAAAGTTGGAGGGGATGGAGGTAGATGTGATCATGCTTAGTTGTATACATGTATGAAACTCTCAAAAATAAAGAAAACAATTTCAAAATCCTCTCCCTAGTGGTATATCAAGGTGGATTGTGAGAGTAATCCCTTTAGAATGCAGGCAAGAAGCAGAGATGCTAGCTGTGGAGGATTTAAAATCAGTAATAAGACCAAAAACGGGGCTGGAGGAATAGCTCAGCCGTTAAAGGCTAGGCTCACAACCATAAATATAAGACCAAAAATGAAGGCAGGTGAGCAGGGGAAACAGGTAAAGGACTTGTCATCAAGCCCAATGACCTGAGTTTGATCCTGGGATCAGATCTGAGCACAACTGACTCCATGATGGAAGTACCATTCAGGCCATAAAATCCAGTATGTAGACAGCACCAACCTAATCCATTGACTTCTGTAGTTCTTTTAGCTAACTGTTCTTGCTAACTGGCCTGTGTCAATCCAGAATGTGTGTTTTTATGCTTCACCCAGAGAAAGGTTTGGGGCTACCCTGGGATCCTGAACACCCAGTGTAGCTGCTGGCTAAGTAGTCCTCTCTGGTGGATGCCCCAGAACAGGACCCAGATGGTAGAAAGAGAAAACTGACTCCTGCAAATTGTCCTCTGACCTCCACATGCTCATCGTGGTATGCAGGCACATATGTATACAAAACTAATAAATGTAATAAAAGAAGAAAATCCAAGAAAGAGGGTAAGAATCAGTCAGCTTTTTTTGTTGTTTGTTTTTGAGAAAAGGTCTGTGCAGCCCTAGCTGTCTTGGAACTTGCTCTGTAGCCCTGGCTATCCTGGAACTTACTCTCTAGACCAGGCTGGCCTCAAACCCAGATATCTGCCTGCTTCTGCCTCTGCTAGGGTTGAAGATGTGTGCTACAATACCTGGCCTTCCAGTCAACTTTTTATTATTCCATTCTCCAGCAACTTTATACAGCCTGCTCAGTGTAATTAATAACATCTTCCTTCTAGATCATTCCTCCTTCCCAGTCATGATGGGGTCCAGTCACCATACACAAATGCCAATGGGTCTTTGTTGGTTTCTTCTCAATGTTTTATTTTTCAAAATATACAATTTATTTACATCTTTATTTCACAACCACAGTTTGTATATTTATCTCAAAATCTCTAGATAGCTTCACCGTAAACAGTACAAATCACAGGACCAGTCACACTGCTTCTCTTTAGTCTTTTGACTAGTTTCAAGTAGTAATGGCTTGTGGGTAAGAAAGGAACAAAAAGGAAGGCAAGATGATTTTTTTTTCTTACATAAGCTCAACATATAGGATTAGAAAGGGCCATCTGACCAGCTACTTCATTTGGGGTCAGATTAAGAATATTTATGTAATTTATAAATAAGACTTCAGAAGCAGTGAGGGCTCTGGTTACAAGGAAGAACGATCTCAGGGAGGGGAAAGTGATAAGGCACCACATGAAAGCCCCTTCTTGGCTTCAGGAGGCACTGCTGGGAGGGTCCTGAGTTGGGGCAGGCATCCACCTGTATAGGTGGAGAGCCAAGAATGGCTAAGGCTGGGGTGGGACTCTTACCGATGCAGAGACCTCTTCAGCCCCCTTTGAGGGGCAGTTTTGTGGTTTTGGGGGCAGAGGAGAGATGGAGAAAGCAGCTGGTAATTCTCAAAGACAAGGGTCAGAGCTCTTGGCAGCATTGCAAAGGATGCCAGCCAGCCTCAGACTTTCTACCCAGGTAGACAAGTGCCAGATTACTTCCACGGAGGCAGCTGGTAGCACAGCTGCTATCTGTGGTTGGCAGGGTCCAGAGTGGCTAAGCTGGGGTCTTGGAGTGGCCTGTGAGAGGCATCGTGCTGTCTCTTCTTGGGATAGCCCTTCATTCACTTCTGAACCATCAAACTCTTTCAAAAAAGGGCAGGAGAGTAAGATGTGGTCACAGGCCTGCACACCATGCTTCTGCTGTGACACTGGTCCCTTTACTGCATGTGGGAGCTCCCAGGGACCCAGGATTCTAAGGCACAGGTGGGGTCAGTTTCCGTCATGCCCCTTGGGACCATTGTCTGGACCCTGAATCAGTACTGAGGGCTGAAGCTTAGGCAGGAGTGCCAATGGGGAGGTCTAATTTTCTGAGAATGAGCCAGTCCCCAAGGGCCACTTGGCTGTCAAGAGGATGCTGTCCTCACACAGTAAGCCAGAAGGGAAGTCCTGCCTTAAGATCTCCACCAAGCCCCAGGGCTAGACAGAGCCCATCCTGCCTGGCAAACCTGATCTCAGCAGGGTCTGGATGGAGGCGGGGGTAGGACAGGGTGCAGGGGCCAGAGCTAGACTGAGGGTAGAAGAGAGGGTCTAGGGGTTGTCACTGCATCTTCGGGTGGGATTCCTCTGGTATGAGGGTGTGGAAAAAGTAATCCCACAATTTAGTGCTGATGCCAAACCCTGCAGAGGGAGACAAACAGGGTAGAAGATGAGGGGTGGACAGAAGAACAGAAAGAATAGAGCTAGGGAAGATTTCAACATCTGTCCCGCTCGTGGTCTTCCCAAGGGCCAACTACCTGGGTCTCACCCCAAACTCCTGGGTGAGCCTGGCCCCACTGTGTCCCCCATAGTGCCCTCCTTCAGCTTCCCCCTCGTCCTTGCTGGGTTAAGTTCATTCCTGCCTCAGGGTGCTGCTCCTGGAATATGCCCATGCCCCAGACATCAGCCCCTGTCTGCTTTTCATTTGGGTCTCAGCTCCAATGACAGCTGCAGTGACTTGTTCCTTGAATCACCTTATCTAGAGCTCTACCTGCCAGCATGGTAGTCACTTGGCTGCTGAGTGCTGGGAACGTGGCTAGAACTTCAGAGGAACTGACTTCTCATTTCATTCAATTCAAATTAAGTTTTGATATGAGAACATATATTTGACTCAGTTACTGGATAACTCAAGTATATTTGGAGCAAATTATATCTGTGAATCTGTCTTTTTAACTACAGATTTTATTTGTGATAAAAATTTAGCATATGAATTAAGATGTTCTCTCAGTACAAAATTGACAGTAAAAGGGGATTTAAGACAGCTCATTAATTTTTTATGTTAATTACAAGTTAAGATGGTAATACTCTGGTTATGCTGGTTAAATATATCATGAAACGTTCTTTATTCTATTTTTTATTTTTTATTTTTTTTGAGGCAATCTTATGATATAGCTTTGGCTAGCCTGGAACTCCCTATGTAGAACAGGCTGGCCTCAAACTCAAACTCATAGAGACCTACTTGCTTCAGTCTCCAGAGTGCTGAGTTTAAAAGGGTACACTACCACACCTAGCCCAATGTTTTCTTACTTTATTTTCTTTATGACAATTATCACTGTCTGAGCACTTTGTATATGGCATTCCCTGAATAGAGCCTGGCTTTTAGTTGGTGCTGAATGTGCCAAATAAATCAAAAAACAAAAAAATAAAGGCTGGCAGGCCCAGCCTTACCTGATTTCTGGTATTCGAAGTGATGCTTGACATGGTGGGCCTTCATGTTGTACAGGTATGAGCCCTTGTGCGGTGAGCCAAAGTGCAGGTAGTAATGGGTCATGTCATAGAGGACATAGCCCAGGAGACCCCCTGCAAAGATGATGCCTGCCACGGCCTCAGGCAGGATGAGCCGCAGGAACACATAGAAGAAGGCAATCACCAAAGAGGCTGGCACTGGGGGGAAGACCAGGCGGGAGCCATCAAAGGGTGCCTGGGGACAGAGAAGTGTGGGTATCAGAGGCAGGCAAACAAAGGCCGGTAGCCTATTTGTGGTCACAGTATGTCAAAGTGAAGACATTATTCATGCAGTGGAGCAGCCAGATGTTCCAATGAGGGGGTAGCGACCTGTCCTGGAAAGGCTCGGTGTCTTCATAGCTGAAAAACCCAGAGAAAGTGTCCTTCTCCTTATTTCCTAGCCAGGATGGAACCTGACAAACTGTCCAAAGACACACCATGCTCCTGAGACCATTTAAGTTCTGTAACTTATTAGCTACTAGACAGGAGCCCCTTTGATAGAGGGGCTTTCTGGAGACTGAGCATTGATGTTTATGGGGGAGCCACACATCAAAAACCTGGGTTAATACATTCTCTGGTGAGAGGATCCTAAAAGTCAAATATGATGCTTCCCTCCTAATTTCTCAATTGGAAGCTTTTTTTGAAGAAGGTTTACAGTGAGCCAGAGAATCAGAGCCTAAGCCTTTGGCTCTTGACCCTCAAAGGAAGAGAGAGGGCTACTCAGTTCTTTAGTCTCCCCAAGCTTCAGTTTCCACTGTGGAATAGGAGCACAGGAGCACTGTCTTCAGAAGATACCTTTACGGGGCAAGGATTTTTGCCTGTTTTGTTCGCTGAAATCTAGGACAATACCTGGAGTATTCAGAGACCATTACTAGTTGAATGAACAAGTTGTAAGCATTAAAGATGACGATGAATTTGGGTGATGCAAGGAATCTACTGTTAATAATTATGATGTGTGCGTGACACCAGAGTATGTACATATCATTCTCACATTGTCCCTACCTGGCTCAGATTAGAATGTCCAACCCAGTCACCCCTCTGAGAAGTCTCAAACATCCTTGGTGTCCATCACTCCAAGCCCAGAGCTGGATTCTCAGGAAGACTCCTGGGAGCTGGCAATAGCTGCAAGGCTTCATGGAGTTGGCTGCATGTGCTGGGGCCTGGAGCGGGACCCACACTGCTCACCTTGTGGTGTTGGCCATGCATGACAAAGTGCAGCATAATGAGGTAATGGCTGTCGCTGGGGGGCTTCATATGGAACAGAAAACGGTGGATGAGGTACTCCACAAGGGTCCAGAAGAGCATGCCTAAAACAAAGAGGCCTGCAAACATGGACTTGGGCACCGCCACTGAATAATCTGCAGCAGAAACAGAGAGATGCTTGGGGTTGGTGAATGCCATGCACACTCGCTGGTGGTGCTAGAGTCTTTGCCTCAACCAGGCTGATTTGGGTGTTGTTGCCCTCTGCCTACTAGCTACAGGTAGGCCACACTGAAAGCCCTGTGGTAAAGTGGGAAGGAGGCTGTGAGGATCTGTTGTGGGCTTAGGAAAGGTTCTTTACTAGAGTGACGAGGCTACTGGTCAGAGAGCCAGTAGTTAGTCCTAATGGGGACTGTAGGGGGCACAGCTCTGTCTGAGAGCTGGATCTCTTCTTAGAAGGGTGACACACTGGCATGGGGCAGGGGAAGGAGACCATCTTGAAAGAGCCAGCAGTCACTGATAGAAGGAATGAACAATTGGGGACCATGTGGATGGGAGTGGATGGGCAGGGAGGACAGGAAAACCTAAAAGCAGAAATGTCAACAGACTTGAAATCATGGTATCTGAGGAAAATGACCATCCTGGATGGAGGTGGGAGGGCTGTGCAGGTGTCTTCAAGGTCAAGTCCTCGAGATCCAGCCCTTTGTTGACACCTTGCAGTTCTTCCTGCTTTCATTTTTAATCTCTAGGAGACTTCACCTCTAGTCCCTTCTGCTCCTGTCTAGTTTTTTTGCATTTCCATCTCATCTTCTTGGCTTTACCCTTTGTGGTGATTAATTTTCATCGTCAACTTGACTGGATTTAACATCTCCATGGAAACACATCTCTGTGTGTTTCTGTGAGGGTCTTTCCAGAAACATTTAAACTGAACAGGGAAGAGCTATTCTGAAGTAGGTCACAGCGTCTCCTGGACTGGGGTCCTGGACTTAAATAAAGAGGCAGAAGTGAGCTGAGCAGAATCACTCTTTTCTCACGGCTCCCCGACTGTGGGTCTGCTATAGCCAGCTGATTCAAGCTCTGCCACCCAGGCTTCCCAGCCCTGATGGACTAGGTTCAAACTGCAAGCCAAACCAAACCCTTCCTTCAAGTTGCTTTTGTCAGGCATTTTGTCACAGTAATAAGAAAAACTTACACATCCCCTTCTTCACAAGCTACTGGTTTAGATATACTTTCTTTTTTCTTAATAGCCTTATCAAGACGTAATTCTTAAACTGAGCATATAGTGGTGCATGCCTGCAATTCCAGTAACTGGGAGGCTGAGGCAAAAGGATCCTTAGCTCAAAACCAGTTTGGGCTACACAATGAGAGTACCCTTCACCCCCTACCCCCCTCTCTCTATATATAATTGTAGCAATACATTATCTACATAAGGATATATAGCTCAATGGTTTTCAGCAGATTCTGAGTTGTGTGCCCAGCATTACTCAAGAGATGGGACTGGATGTCCCTTCTGAGGCTCTGCTGCAGAAGCTGTGCCTCTGTCTCTGCAAACTCTGCTTGACAACTGATTTTAACCACAGGTTGGCAACCCCCAGATCTGTACCTTCACCTTTGGCCGGCCACTTGCCACCATGTATCGCCCGCCACATGGCGTACAAAGGACCCCTGAGCTAACCCTTCCCAAAAGAAGCGAATTACCTTCCTTTTTCTTTGGGCCCCGCCCCTCCAGGCCACTCATTGGGGTTTCCCCTCTGTGGATGCCCACATGCTATCTGCCTTAGTTACCACGACCTGTCACTTCCACCCACTTCAGATCTCTTTGGCAAAGTGAAAGAAGCCAGAGGAGAGGGCCACTGAGTGCCTGATTCCATTTACATGAAAGTTCAGAACTAGCACATTTGCGGACACAGAAAGCAGAGTGGAGGTCACTGTGGGGAGGAGGATGGAGGAGGATGGAGAATGGGAGCAACTGCTTCTCTGGGCTGAGTTTCCTTCTGAGATGATGGGAGGGCTTGGAACTGGATACAGAAGGCATCTGTACTAAAGGCCACTGTGCTATTCAAGTTAAAATGGTTGGTTTTATAATATATGAATCTCATCTCCATTTGCATTTGTTTGTTTGCTTACTTATTATTAAGATATCCTCCCCATAGGCACATGGCTAAAGCAATGGCATGTGAGGAAGAATATATACTTGTTTTTCTTGAAAGCCTCTTGTGCCACCATGCCCAATCTGTAACTTAAATCCATTTGTTTATCTTTCCATCCATCTCAATTCACCATTTTTCTTTCTAGATGTGTGTGTGTGTGTGTGTGTGTGTGTGTGTGTGTGTGTGTGTGTGTGTGTGTGTGTGTTTAGAAGACTAGAGGTGTCTGATTTCCTGGAGCTGGAATTACAGAAAGGTCATCAGCTGCCTGGCACCGGTGCTGGGAGTTGAACTCAAGTCTTCTGCAAAAGCAGTATATACTCTTTACTGCTGCACCATCTCTCCAACCCCAGGTCACTGATTTGAATCCCACTACCTTACTGCCTATTAGCCTCCAGGACAGTATCAGGCCTCCACTCCTGCTTCTATTCCTTGTTAATGTGATACCTCAGGGCCTTTAAACAAAGTCAAGTCCCCCCCAAACACAACATTCCATGTCCCTCAAGTCTTGATCTTCCAGACATGTCACCTGCACAGGGGCCAAATCAAACCACTAGATGCTCCTTATGTGTGCTGAGCCATCTTCTCCTGCACATGCTTTTTTTTTTTTTTTTTTTTTTTTTGAGACAGGTTTCTCTGTGTAACAGTCCTGGTGTCCTGGAACTCACTTTGTAGACCAGGCTGGCCTCAAATTCACTGAGATCTGCCTGCCCCTGCCGCCCAAGTTCTGGGATTAAAGGCATGCGCCACCACTGCCTGGCTCTACACATAGAAATTTACGGATGCTCTTGTCCCTGGAGTCCCTGTTTTTCTTGTCCCTGGGGATCCAGTCCACAAGGCTCTGACATTTGTCTTCATCCTCTTCTGGCTGGCTAGTGAACCTTGCTATGTCCTTTAGTATCACCCTGAAGCACTAGGTCCTGTGTGGTATCATTGCATACTTTGCCCCCAGCTGGCAGATGAGTTTCTTTATGAGTAAAGTCTTCTTTATGTGTCGAGTGCTTAACACAGCAGGCTCACAGGAACTTATCAGGAGAGAAATGGTGGAGAAAACTGGATGTTTGTGCTTGGATTAAATTTGACCTGTGTCACCCTCTGTGTGGACCAGGCTTAGGGAGGCAGCTTTGAGAGGTGCCTCCAAAGGGCTCAGATGATCGGTACACTGTAGGCAGGCCCAGGACCAATGGCCACGGGGAGAGGGAGTGCTGTGAAAGGGAGACATCCTGGGCAGGTGGGAAGCAGAAGTGACCACTAGGTTTTTGGCCAGAGTCAGGCCATATCTCATCTTGACAAATGGCTCCAAGTGAATTTCTAGGTGCCTTGGAATTATCCTTCACCTGGGAGCGAACATGAGATGCAGCTACAATTTGATCCCTTATGCTCCATTCCTTCCCGAAAGCTGCTGTCTCCCTTGGGCTGCACTACTTTCTGGCACTCTGGCTCTGAGGCCTTTATTTGTTCCAGGGCAGAATTTGTTCAGCGGCTGCAGTGCGACCCCAGTGAGTGTCGCTTGGCCTTGTCTTGTGAGTTCTCACCCGCTCTGCCTGTGACTTGTGCCTTGCATGGTGATCTGCAGGGTGAGGAATGCATGAGGCAATGTGTCTCTCATCTGGCATTGTGGCCACAGGCTTACCAGCCTGCCACACTGGACCTTTATCACGCAGGCACATTTTAGCTGTCTGCAGAGGCCTGAGGTGCTGTGGAGCCCTCAAATCACTGTCACTGCCATGGAGAATAGCCCTCTCCTATAGGTCAAGTTTCCACCCGCCTCCTCACCCCAGCATCATCCAGTCTGCCCATCCGGCCAGAGCTGGTACTGAGTGGTATCTCTGGAGGAATCCAGCAGAGGGACCTGGGCCAAAGCTTAGAGTCCCCTTCCCCCTCTGGCCTCCAGCCCTGGCGGCCCTGCTACTGTTGGTAATTGTTAGGGGAGTGCTGGGCAGACAGTGGGCGATTCAGTGAACAGGCCTCTGAGCAACAAGCCCGGTGCTGTGCCTGAGCTATTCAGCGTGGGCCGAAAAGGGTAACTGTGGTTGGTGGGACTTGCACGGTAACCCTCTGGGCTCTGGGCTGGGCTGAGGGGGCACTTTCCACAGCATGCTCATCCCCCACCCCACCTTGAGTGAGGCAGATAAACTGAGGGTCCCAGTTCTGTGGAAGGCCCTTGAGTTGCTGTCCTCAGAGGCTGTAGAAGGAAGAAAAGCCTGTGTGTGGAGAAGGAAACTGTCTGATGCATGTCAGGAACAAACTGATCTGGCGAGGGAAGCAATACCCCCAGACAATACCCTAAGGTGCCAGGTAGATTACCTGGGCAAGAGAAGGGGCATGTTCCTGGAGAGTAAAGCAAGCAGAGTCAGTGGGCCAAGATAGCAGAGTGGCCATTCTGAGAAACTTAGTTCTGCATGTTCTTTGGATAATAGCCCATGTCATATTCTCTGTCTCCTGTTCCCTGACTGTAAGCTGGGGGCAGTTAGTGTCCACATCCTTGGCCATATGACCTTGGATGAGTAGTTTGCCTTTCCCAGGCTTTACTTGGTGTGTTTGTGTGTGTGTGTGTGTGTGTGTGTGTGTGTGTGTGTGTGTGTGTGTGTGAATGCACAGCTGTCTGCAGGTATGTATGCATGCATGTACACTCCAGAGGACAATCTTGGGTGTTGTTTCTCCTCAAGAGCCATCCACTTTGTTCTGTGAGACAGGTTCTCTTGCTGGAACTTGAGGCTGGCCAATTAAGTTAGAATGGCTGGCCAGTGATGCCTGGGGACCCATCTGTCTCTGTCTTCAGAGCTGGGAGATCACAAGTGCTCACCACCAAGCCTGGATGTTTATATAGATGCTGGGATCAAACTCAGGTACTCATGCTTGTTGTCTCCCAGTCCCGCATCCCAAAAACAAACAAACAAAACACCTGGAAGATAACATTGCACACATGTAACCATGTACTATGTGATGTTTTGACACATGTATACCTTCTATATTAACTGTTTTCTCTACCCTAAGAGGGGAAAGCAAGTGCCTTTCCTATGGGGCTGCTGAGAAAGTACATGGAGTCCTGGGAGAGTACGTGGTCTGGCATATGCTGCACACTAAGTAGAGCGGAATCAGGTGTCACTGCCAGGGTCAACTTCTGTCATGTGATCCTTAGCTTTGAAGACTATCTGTGGTGCTTGCATATCTTTCTCACAAGTTCTCCTCCAACCTGTGGTGTGAACATAAGACTCATCTGCACACCTGACATAGTGATTCCATCCATCCATCCATCCATCTATCGCCTTTTGAGATAGAGACTTATTATGTAGACCTGGTTAGCCCAGTTAGCCTTGGCTAGTCTTGAACAAGCTATGGTAGATGAGGCTGGCCTTCATCTTTACAGTAAGTAATTCCCTTGTCTTTGTTCTTGAAGTGACAGGATTACACGTGTACACCACCATGCCTGGTCTCCATTTAGTCTCTCAATGAGGAATTCTAGGTTGTACATTCTCTGTTATTTGAATTGAGATAGAGCCTTACTGTGCGGCTCTGGCTGCCTTGGACCTGCTAATGTATATAAGGATAGACCCAATTTGTAATGATCTTCCTGTCTCTACCTCCCAGGGGGAGGGGAGTGCCACACCTAGCACATTCTCTGTTCTTAATCTCAGTGAGAAGGTCCCTTCTTCTGCTTTTTTTTTGTTGCTGTGACATTTGGTGATAAGATTTTGTTTAGTTTCTGTTCATTTATTGCTCACTTTGTATTCATGGGGTTGGGGAGGACAATTGTTTTTTCTATGCTAAGCCCCACTTTGAAGTATTTTTGGTGTGGTTTTCTTTTTCTTTTCTTTTGGTTTTTTTGAGACAGGGTTTCTCTGTAGCTTTGGAGGCTGTCCTGGAGCTTACTCTGTAGACCAGGCTGGCCTCAAACTCACAGAGATCCACCTGCCTCTGTCTCCCGAGTGCTGGGATTAAAGGTGTGAGCCACCACTGCCTGGCTTATGATGGGATTTCCTATACTCATAGAACCTCAAGACTATGGAGAACACTGTTTCCTGCCCTTGAGACCCACAGGGACGAGTCAGAAAGAAGCCAGTTTGTTGCCGTTACCTGTTGTGAATGATGCGAAGAGCCGGATGTTGTCCTGACTGAGGGTTCGGTAGTAGGACCAGCTGAGGTACAGCACCAGGGGCACCCAGATGATGGGGACACTATACCTGCAGGAGAGCCCAGGGTGAGAGAGAGATTTGCATGGAAGGGAAGGGACAGTAGGGCCCACCTTCTCATTTTAACTACAGAGGGAACAAGGCGATACCAAAGCACATGCAGAAAGTGTGTGAACAGCCTTGGCCAAAGGCACAATGGTGTAAGGAGCAGGGGAAAGAAGAGAGAAGCTGCGAGTCTATCTCCCCTCCCCTCCCTCCATCTCTGTGTGTCTCTCTGTCTCTTCGTCTCTCTGCATCCCTCTCCCACTCCCTCCTCCTCCCTCCCTCTCTCCCTCCTTCTCTCTCCCTCCCTCCTTCCCTCCTTTTCTCTCTCTCTCTGTTTTTTTTTTTTTTTTTTTTTTTTTTTTTTTCTGAGACAGTGTTTCTCTGTTCCTGGCTATTCTGGAACTCGCTCTGTAGACCAGGCTGGCTTCAAACTCACAGAGATCCACTTGCCTCTGCCTCTCTGCCTCTGCCTCTGCCTCCCCAGGGCTGGGATTAAAGGTGCGGACACCATCACCTAGCCTGTCCCTGTCTCTTGAGAATAGTCATGGGCAGAAAAGAATTATGGGGTGCCATGGTTACTGACTCTGGACAGCTATATAGACACTGTCCTCTTGTGACAGGGGAATTAATTACAGGACAAATTGTGACACGTGCATTAAAGGCTTCTAACCCTACACAGGAGTCTGGAAAAGAGCAGGCACAGGCACATGGTAGGGTGTCACCCAGATGTAGATGAAACCATGTGCAGGAATTGATTATAGCTACAGCCTGCCCCATGCTCCCCGCGAATTTACAGTATTCCCTTTATTTTAAGGAGGAACTGAACTGTTCCCTCCCCTTCTATGTCTGACTGGTGTTACCAGCAGAGAGGCCCATCATAGAGCCCACACGGCACTCACCAGACAGTCTTGGAGAAAGCCTCGATGAGGTCAGAGTGGAAGAGGCGGATGGGCCTGGCCACTGGCTGGTGAACCCACTCATCGTATTTCTCTCCCAAGTGGCCCACCTGCCACAGCAGAGGCTTTTGCCAGTCCACCAGGTCCTGCAAGAGACAGATTGAACCCTCGATAGTCACATTACTGATACCCATTTCCACATCGCTCGGTTCCTGTTCCCTAGCACCATCTCTGCTCCCATGGTGTGCGCAGACACACACACACACACACACACACACACACACACACACACACACAGCGGTTTTGGGGAGTGGAAGCCAGACTTAACTATATTGCCCCTTCCAGCCCCTGGAAGTGGGGTCCAAGTCAGGCCCACTGCCCAAGCTTGCTTGGACCAAGAACCACCAAATACCTGTTCTTCCCACTGGAGCTGTTAGTTGGTTGAGTCTGGAGTTGCCTAGACAGCACAGAGTACAGCCAAACCGAGAGCTAGAGAGGTCAAAACCTGGTGACAATGTCTAAGAGTCCATGCTGGACTCTATACATACAAGCACCAATATACTCAGCATCACCAGGGGCTGACATGAGTGGAGGTCCCTTTTCCTTCACTGCAGACTTTCTTCTTGAGGTTGGCCTAGATAATTAACTCACCCATCCATCCATTCATTCATTCAAATAGCTATTCACTCAACCATTTGCTTAACATTTCATCATAAGCCAGGCAGTGGAGGCTCACACCTTTAATCCCAGCACTCGGGAGACAGAGGCAGGTGGATCTCTGTGAGTTTGAGGCCAGCCTGGTCTACAGAGTAAGCTCCAGGACAGCCTCCAAAGCTACAGAGAAACCCTGTCTCAAAAAAACAAAAAGAAAAGAAAAAGAAAACCTCACCAAAAATACTTCAAAGTGGGGCACACATATAGGTGTGCTAGGTGCTGGAAAGCAACAACAACAGTGTGTGTGTAAGACAGTACTTCTGTTTCACACAGCTTAGTGCTCAGAGTAGAGACTCTGGAGTCAGTTCTGGGTTTGAATCCTGACTCTACCACCCACTGCATGACTTTGGAGAAATTATTTTAACTTTCTGAAACCCATTACCCTCTGCTACAAAGCAGATAACAACAATATCAGTGGAAGGTATTCAGCAGGATGAAGCATACTAAGCATTAAGGTGTAGTGCTGATTCAAGGATGTCACAATTCAGAGGCAAGAGGACTGTCACAAATGCTCAGATCTAGGGTAAGTAAGCAAGACTTTAAACATGCTCTGGGTTTGCTCACCAACACAGAAGATTTGTCTAGGTGAGGAGGGTAACAACAGGGGATGTGGGTATAGATGTGGAGTTGAAAACAAGTGTGGCCCATGTTACAGAGCAGTTTCTTGACACTGCTCTGCGGATTGCAGAAAGAAATCTGTGGAGGGCTTAGTAGGACACTCTGTTCAGGTCCAGGAATCCTATTTCATCTATCAGGCCAGCTGTTCCTAGACAGGCATTACACAAACCTCAGCAGCACTAGCAGGCTCACCCCCGGGAAAAAGTCAGGGACCCCATTTACTTTTTAAATTTAAAGATTTATTTTATTTTTATGTGTATTTGTGTTTGTCTGTATGTATATACATATGTGCACATGCATATGCATCCATTTGTGTGCACGCTCTCGTGTGCATGTGCGTGTGTATGTGCACACGTGCATGCGCGAGTGCACATGCCTGCTGACCATGGAGGTCAGAAAAAGGCACTGGAACTGGAGTTACACGTGGCTATGAACTGCCCATTGTAAATGCAGAGAAACAAGACTGGGTAGTGAGCCATCTCTCTTGCCCTCAGAGACCCCATTTGTATCTGTCACACACAAACACACATACACACACACACACACACACACACACAGAGATTTAAATCATATCTGACTTCATTCTGATTCACAGACTATAAGAGTACAACATATAAAATATTTATAGATTAACATGGACATATAGTAAAAACAATGTTCCCAAAGTTTTTACTCATAGGAATACAGAACCAGAGTTCAGAGGCTTTACCTGTAGGCAAAAAGAAGCACTCAAAGATCCCTGGTGATTTAGTGTGTATTGAATATGATCAATCTGGATTCCAAACAGTAAATTACAGTGAACTTAAAGCCAGGGCCCATACTGAAACCCTGTCCTTGCTGCTAACCAGTTGTATGACCCTGAGCAAGCATCTATACCTCTCCTAGTTGCTCGGTTTCTTGTAAGTGAAGCTGGTAGTCCAACAATCCAAAATCAGAGGGAGGGTCTCCAATACAAGGGATCAGTCCTCACAAAGAGAGGCAGCCACTACAGAGGAAGGGTGGCAGTGGCAGGTAAGGGAAGGAGAGGAAGAACGAGCAAAGCCTGGGAGAGAGACCCTGCGATGATTCTAGAAACCTGCTCATTCCTCACACCCTCTTTGCCAAAGCTGGCTCAGCTCTCCCAGGAACTGGCCTCCATGTGTTCCCAGCCTCTCTGGAGCCTCTCTACTGTTTTCCTCATAACTGTGGGAAACGGGTGTAGGTGTTCTGGAGTAGTCAGGTAAGGCCACCAGTCATTATTCTTGAGTTTGTGACCAGGGAAAGAGGTCCAAACCCCACTTGGTGGCCGCACCCTTCCTGACTCTAGTTTCCTTGACCTCATGCCTTGGTCCAGTGATGCAGGCAGTCTCATGGCTTCCACATCTCTGTCCTGGGTCTCCGAGTATGCACAGAGGCATACTTTATACCTTCTGGTACACCATGTTTACACCTTATCATGAAGCGGCCTGTACAGCCTCACCCTAGAAGGGGCGATGCAAGGTCACATAGGAGTTTGAAGCTTTGCCCCAATCTCAACACTCACAGAGCACATGTAATATGTCAACCATGACTGTAAAAACTCTACACGGCTTAAACCATTCACTCATTTCTCAACATTCCCAACTGAATGGGTACTATAATTGTTGTCATTTATAGATGTGATACTGAGTCTGGTAATCTCTCAAGGTCTCCCTGTCATATCTTCTTGTTGAATTGCCCATCCACTATGGGGAATTTTTGCTCTGAAGTCCTTAGGTTCTAATCTTTATGTGGCAAGCACCTTGCCCACTGACTCATCTCTCCACCCCAAATTTGTTTATGTTTATTCTTTCTTGCCATTTACTGTCCCCTCTATCCTTTCTTATTTGCCACATTTTCTATTTTAATTTTAGGAAATCTCAAACCTTTTATTTACTTATGTTGTATGCAGCACATGTATGCGTGTGGGCGAATGCATGCCACAGAGGATGTGTGGAGGTCAGAGGACAAGTTGGGAAACAGTTCTCTCCTTTCACCATTGGAGTCCCAGGCAGTGAACTTAGATTGCCAGTTTTGTTGGCAGGAGCCATTACCTGATCAGCTGTCTTATCCTTCCTGAATTAAGTATTTTAAAACATTTTACATTAACGCCTCCACGGGTTTTTAGTGATGTCTCTGAGTTTTTCATTCTAGTTGTTGCTCTGTGGACGATACTTGCACCTTTTATTTTTATCACCATCTGGATCTTCTGTGTTCCCTGTTCCCATGTTGTTACACATGGTATTCATATGCCTAAGTTGCATTTGTACATTTAATTTGGACTTGGATATTTTAAGAAAACAATCATTTGAGGTCAGTGAGATGGCTCCATGGATTAAGGCACTAATGACCTGAGTTCAAACCCTGGGATTGACATGGTAGAAGGAGACCACTGACTCCTGCAAGCTGTCTTCTGACCTCCACACAAATGCTGTGGCTCATGTATTCCCCCAATAAATACATGCAATAAAAAGAAAACCACTTATAGTTATTATTCAGATGTGTGGCCAGGTGGGCCTCCTCTCTCTACCTAGCAAAGGTTTAGGTAAATTTTTATGTTGATCTGTTTTGCCCTTATTTTGCACAGCAAGAAGAAAGTAACATAGTATTATAACTTTAATTCAGTGGAGACACAGGAAGCAATGTGTAGGCAAACCACAAGGACATAGCAGACACAAAAGGAAGGCTGGGACTAGATTGCTGAAAAGGTGTTTATAAAACATAGCTCCTCAACAATGTGGTCTTCCCTTGATGTCCTGTTGCCCATTTGACCTGTACACATGATTTCATCCACTGTCTAGGTAGACCAGCAGGCCCTGATGCTCTCTATACATAGTAGGCTGCTGTTTACAGTCAGTGCCAAGGCTGCCAGTGATCTGCTGATTTTTTGTTGTCTTTTTGTTTTTGAGACTCTGTGTGTGTGTGTGTGTGTGTGTGTGTGTAGCCTTGGTTGTCCTGGAACTCACTCTGTAGACCAGGCTGGCCTCAAACTCAGAAATCTTCCTGCCTCTGCCTCCCAAGTGCTGGGATTAAAGATGTGCAGCACCACTCACTGCCTGGCATCTGCCTATTTTTTTACCCCACACTGTATCTTCCTGAGGTAGTCCTCCTTGATATCCAAGGAGAGTCACTTGACTCTGGGAGCTAAAAGCCTTGTCTCTACCCCTGCAAAAATTCTTCTTATCAGCAAGGGCCAACATCAATAATTTTAGCATAGGGTCTCTGACCTACTATTCTGGGGGGGGGGATTAAAGTGAGATGTCCATACATTGACTTTCTCCCTGTGTTTGGAATAAATATATTGAAGTCCAGAAGCTGGAGTTGGTTTGTTGATTCTAGAGTGGGAATCTCCTTATCTCCTCCCATAAGTTTTTGGTTTGGTTTGGTGTTTTTATAAATAACTTTGTGTGTGTGTGTGTGTGTGTGTGTGTGTGTGTGTGTGTGCGCGCGCGCGCGCGCGCGTGCGCACACGCGCTCTTATGGAAGGGTGTCACAGTATTCTAGCAGAGGTCAGTCTCTAGAGTTCGTTCTCTCCCTTCACCATGTGTGTCCTGGAAATTAATTTCAGGTTGTCAGGCTTGGCAGCAAATGCCTTTAGTGGCTGAGCCATCTCACGGGCTCCTGGTGGTGAATTCTGAGGCAGGGTCTTAATATGCTATATATCTCTGGATGGTCTGGATCTCAATATGTAGACTGGGCTGTTCTCAAACTTGAGATAATTCTCCTGCCTCTGTTTAGCAAGTGATAGAATTACAGGCATGTGCTACCATGTCAGGCTCCTTTCCCTAGTTTGTAGCACCCTCAAAACAATTTCTCA